CATTCAAACGGAGCAGGCCCCTACAGCGACGCCTCCACCCACGGAGATTACCTCCAAAAATACTGCTGAGATGGAGATTGACTAGGTCATCCTGGAGACCCAGACCCCTTCTCCTCTACAGACGGAGCCAAGAGTGCTCATTGAGGAGGAGCTAATGGGAGAGGAGACACCTCCTCCTCCCCCAAAAGAATAACCATACGTGAAGGAAATGAGAATGGCCCAGGTGAACATCCACCATGCTAAAGCTGTCTCGGCAGTATAGCTAGGATGTTCACTGCACAACATCTATGGGCAGTTCTCATCCAGGAACCCTGGCAGTGGAAAGGACAAATTAGAGGCTAGTCCTGTAAAGACGGTAAGACTGTATGGGATTCCAGACAGGAAAATCCCCGTGCATGTATATTGATTAGGAAAAACTAATTATCTCTGTCTTTCAGAATTCATGACTGGAGATTTAGTTCCCATCAAGGTAGAAATACCAATCGATGGGAAGAGACAAGAATCAGTAGTAGCATCAGCATACTTCCCAGGAGAAGAGGAACACCCTCCCCCTGATGAGCTACGAAGGCTAGCTAGCTACTGCAGCGAGAAGGATCTCCCCTTGCTGGTGGGATGTGATGCCAACGCACATCATCAAATTTGGGGAAGTACCAACAACAACAAAAGAGGTGAGGCACTCAGAATTTTTGGTGAAGGAAAAATTAGATATACTTAATATAGGATCAACCCCTACCTTTGTCACCAAGCCCTACACAAAGTGATAAAAAACTGGAGGGTTTCAGGTGAAGAGTCAATGTCGGACCACAGAATAATAAGGTTCGACATTGATAGGATAGACCCTACACCGTTTAGAAACCCCCGAAACACAAACTGGGCAAGGTTCACTGAGATGGTAACACAGTTTAAACCATGCAACAGTGAAAAGAGTACCAAAGACCTGCAATGAATTGGAACGTGCAGTTAAGGAACTTACAGGAAATATAATTGATGCATATGAAACAAGCTGACCTGTAAAGGTCCCAAAAAGTAGACAAGAACCACCTTGGTGGAATGCAGAACTGGGTATATTAAGAAAAGAAACCAGGAAAGCGTTAACAAGGCTAGACTAGGAAGTAACTGGGGAGAATACAAAATGTTACTTCATATAACCATGCGAAGGCGAAAAGAGAGAATTTTTGCCAATTCTGCGGAGAAATCTCCACAGTATCCACAGCAGCTAGATTGCACAAGATACTAGCAAAGGACAGATCAGACATAAACATTGCCTTAAGAAATGCAGAAGGCAAATACACAGAAGACATGCAACAAAATACAATGCTCCTTCTAAGTAGACATTTTCCAGGCAGTACCTACAACATTTCCCCAGAAAATGTGAGAGCAGACAATCCCAAGAAAGAAAATTGGAAGAAAGCAGCTGAAATAATCACAGAGAAGAAAATCCTCTGGGCGATTAACACTTTCAGCCCGTACAAAGCGCCAGGAACGGATGGAATCTTTCCCATCCTGTTACAAAAAGGAATGGATATAATTACTCCAACACTGCTACGAATGTATGAAGCAGTTTAGCACTAGGTTACATACCACAGATATGTCGTAGGGCAAGGGTGGTTTTTATACCAAAAGTGGGGAAAAAAGACCCCACATCACCCAAATCCTACAGACCAATCAGCTTAACATCCCTTCTATCAAAGACCCTTGAAAAGCTGATAGACAACTATATAAGAACAACAGCACTGGCAAACAAGCCTCTCCATTACTGTCAGCATGCATACAGAACAGGAAGATCAACAGAAACTGCACTGTACCAACTAACCAGTGACCTAAAGGAAACACTGGAAACAAAAGAAATAGTAATCTGCGCTTTCCTCGATATTGAGGGAGCTTTCGATAATCATGCATCAATGGAAGCCTCCTTGGGGAAAAAACACGTAGACCAAACTACATCCAGATGGATTGGAGAACTGCTAAGAAATAGAATAGCTGAAACAAATGTAGGAATAAACACTATAGAAGTTAGAACAACAAAAGGATGTCCTCAAGGAGGGATATTATCACNGATTAAATGGATACCTAAAGAAAATTGGAACAATCCAAGATGGCACATGTAGATTCTGCAAGGAAGCAGAAGAGACACCAACACACTTACTAACAAACTGCGGAGCTACGTTGGCCTGCAGGAGGAAATGTTTTGGGATGTACAATGTGACCATAGAAGAGCTTCAACCATTAAAACCGGGCCTATTAATCAAGTTCCTTGATGAAATAGGACTCACTGATGTGCTTTAGGCAGAGAACGGGGGATACAATAGCTCTCAAAGGGCGCAGTATACCATACCCTGAAATATTACATCTACATCTACATTGTAAATGGAGGGTTAGGAGGTAAGGATTGGAAGGAACCGGATCCAAACACAGCAATCTGAGACAAATTATCTTGGAGCGCATGAAGAATACCAAAGCTTCGTTTCCTCGTGTCAATCTGTACAGCAAAAGTATCCTCTTTTGAAAGTTTCGACTTCAAATATGGCAATGGTTATTATTACCAGGCATACAACAAAAGGATTAAAAAGACCCGAATCTCCAACGTTCGAAACTGAGTCCATATCTCCATCTTCGTCAAACCAAGAGTTAGACCAGGATTTACCCACTCAAACACAGAAGAAAAAGAAAAAATAACTGCAGGGCTCGATCCACAAATACAATCCAAAAGAATCAAATAAAGATTTCTTCTGAAAAGAATCTTACTGCGCATCGATAAGCAGTTTCAGGATTTCAAAACTTACGACCTGAAGTTCACAGGCAAGCTGTTACCAATTATCACATGCATCTCGAGGAACACGAAGAGATTCATCGGAAAAACAGCACACAAAAATTATGGAAAGATAAACCTTTATCAGGTTTGGCATATGATTTCGAGTCGAAAGAATCGGATAGCACAGTCCAGCATAGACATGATCTACAATGGCAATGAAATGGAGAAAAGAAATGCTGGGGTATTGCAGAAAGTTTTTTTCAAGGCATTTAAACCTCTGCCAGAACCAGGGTACAATTTAGTTGTGGATCTTCATACTGAGCATAATTAGTTTAGGTCATATCGGAAAATGTAATAGTTGCTTTCAGTTGACCTCATTTGGAGTAAGCATCTGAAGATGGATTTATGCCGACGTTTAAGGTGCAGGATCAAGTTTACCATTTAATTGGAAGTTAATTGCCTGCGGATCGACAGGACGCTCGATATTTAAAAATATATTTTGTGGGGGAAGATGAAAGAGAAGCAAATCTGAGAAGCTCAAACTGTCCGGTTGTGAAGCGAAATATGATCAAAATACTTGAAAAGATGCTCCATTATGCGAACCCTTATATCAAGCAAACCACTGGATCTAAAGGGCTGAAATTTTGACAGTGCACTCCGATAATGACATGGACATTGCTTTCCCGTATACTCGGTCGTCCTTAAAAGGGCAATGAGGATCTTTAACGTCCTCACCTAGCCTATTCGGCCTTATTGGACGTTTTGATTCTTAAGATGGGAGCTGACGCACCTCCGCATACGACAGAAGGGTGTTACTGCCGTAATATTGGTGTAGAGGCAGCTCAGCCCCGAGGGGCCAAGACAACCTCGCTCCCCGCTTGGCCATTCAGAGTGGTCGGGTCCGCATTAAGCATCGAACCATATGCCGTGTGCAAAGGGCTACCGAAGCCAAAATACATTAGGCTGGTCTCCCGTACACTCCATATATTATAGAGAAGACCACTCTATCTCTCAGAGTATTGAGGCTTCCCTATCGTAGAAACTACCGGATCCGCTCCGGCCGCAGTTTTGTTTAAAGTGGAATTGCTAACCACCCCCTAGAGGAGACTGTCTACGGTAAAAGCCGCCAATCGAGCACAGTGCAAAGCACACTCGAATAGGAGCAACCGATTTCCATCTGGCACTACTCTCGCATTCGAGGGACTTTTCAGCGAAATCATAGTGTCCTCAACGCTTATACGCTGCCGTCGCATCTGCCGTATCCCGTGAGGCCGGGTGCATAGCGGTGGTCATACGCAAGTTTCGAGCGTAGAAGACAGCCTCTTCTCTAAGTTCCCGCCAGGTCCCACTATGAATCCATTCCCAGTGTAACAGGGGCTGAACCTTGGAGCATTTCTGTTACCCCGTAGTACAGATGGCTATGCACCCTCCCCCGTCTATGCAGACAGGATCTGGTGCCCTAACCCTTGTGTGCCTCTGATAAGGCTCCCGCCGCCCCATGCCGACCCCAGGTCGACACGAGTACAGCTTGTGCTTTCGAGAGATTGCCAAGCCCTCAGGGCTGCACTATTATTTTGCGCCTGGACCCCTCTTGTAACCAAGGGTTGGGAGGGGTCACAGGAAACAATGAATGAGCCTTAACCACATTGAACCACCCGTCATCGTCAAAGTTCCACATTAAGTGGGCCATGACTCCTTGGGTGGATGTAATGACATGGACAGCAGCTAAGAATGGATTTTTTGAAATTCCATCCCCATCTGTACATAAAACAGTTCCATGACTGATAGGCAACGCCCAGACCAAACCGCTGGATTTAAAGAACTGAAATTTTGACAGTGCACTCCGATCATGACATGGACAACAGCCAAGAAAGGATTTTTTGAAATTCCATCCGTAACTGTACATAAAACAGTTCCTCGACTGACAGACAATGCACAGACTAAACCGCTGGATCTAAAGAACTGAAATTTTGACAGTGTACTCTGATAATGACATGGACAGCAGGTAAGAAAGAATGTTTTGAAATTCCATCCCTAAGGGTATCGTATGGTCATATCAAATGAACTAAAGATGAGAAGAATTTAAAAAACGAGACATTATATTAGAAAGACTTACTAGAAGTATGCATTACATTCAAAAGGTACATTAAGAGTCCCACGAGGAAGAAGTCGTGGGCAAATGCTACTAATTACATAAGCAAATTAAATTACGGTGAGAAAGATGTGGGTATAAGTGTCATATGCTTACCGACGGAAGAGGGAGTCAATCGTGTCGTCTCTCCTCAGATTCAGAATCACTTTCGGTTTCGTCTCTGTTTTCTGCAATGGATTGACCAGGAACTATTCTCGGTGGGGCTAATTTGTTACGGTTTGGACGGTCATAAATGCCTTCTAGGATATCGTGCTCGGGGAATGACATGGGCCTGGGTCGCTCAACATCAGAACTTGTAGAAGGTCGTGGTCGTTCAAATTCATCATCAGAAATAGATGCTAATAAAAATTCATCCCTGAAGCGAGGTGGACGTCTTAGTTCCTCATCCCTTTTCCTTTCCAATTGTCGCCTCTCTTTGAAAGCAGGAAGGTCATAGTGTACATATTTCATATATTTAAAGCACTGATATGCGGTATATGCGGCACCCAGGGAGACCGCTGCAATACGTAGTGCTGTTTTGATCCCGTTCGATGAAAACATTTTGCTTAGTCTGGGAAGGTCTTATTTAAATGCAATAATAGTAAAACTAAAAAAAAAAATGTTAAAAAAACTTTGAGATACTTATCTATAGTATAATTGGGAGTAGAAAAAGTGTACTTACAGTTTAGATGCAAATCTTTAATAAATTTGAGATATGATCCAGTAGGATTAAATAGATTTAAGTAGTCAACAAAACAATTACTTTAAATTAAGTAAATAACTTATTTGCAATAATAGTTTGCAATTGTTGTATCAAACCGACAAAATGCAAGTTTAATAATTGGTAAATAACCATGGAAACATTCATCAAAAATTGCTATTTTTTTTTACATATGATTTTACATAGGTTTGCCGAAGTCTTAACCGATTGTGTGCTAAAGTACCCAATATTGGATAAAAACAGATAGATAAATAAAAAGTCATAAACTTTCCCGATATTGGACTGTCTAGGAAGGAAATCTATTTCCTTGACAACGCACAATTTATAATCATTTAACTTTTCTTTTAATTTGGATGTTTCATCATACAAAGTTTGACTAAATGCTTTTCAGATCGGTCTTAAGATTCAGTCAGATCCATTTTCTACTTAAGATTGCTATTACCAAAATTATATATGACAAAAGCCTATGTTTTTTTTAGTTTTTTTTTTTTTTACGTAGTTTATATTTAGATTATTATTTATAATTAGATATAGATTATTAGTTTCCATATCAAGTTTACGGATTCTGCTATTTGTTATTATTTGTTTTAAATAAGCCCTAGTAAGCACAGTCAAAAATTGGCTTCTTGAACTTACAGAACCCACTTACTCTGAAGACAGAGGACAGAGACTTAGAGAGGTAGTTTATTTTATTTAATTATTCAGGTTTGTATAGACCCTTTGTATTGTTTCTCAAACAAAATGGCAGCGGAAAAATGGTTTTTCGGTACCGTACTTATGGAAGTTGAAATCCAAAGGTTACTCTAATTATATAAGCATTCTAACTATGAATAGGGATATTGCTAATTTTGTAGTATTTATTTTCCATAGAATTTTTATTATAAATTGCATTAAAATTTATTAAAAGTTATGTTTTTACTGAAGGAAAATTTAATTAAAGGATTTTGAAAAAAGAACAAAATAAAAGGTTTTTAATTCCATAATTCAGATACAATTATTGTAAATGAGTCCATTTGAGTCAACATGGTAGATTATTTTTTGCAATGTGTAGCATTATTCATCTACCATCCATAGTTTTGGATGGTTTGCTGTGGTCCAATAGATTTGAGAACTGAGAGAGTTCAGCATATAGAAAAACATGCCCATGATCATTATTGGTGATATTTGTTCCATTTTTGGATTTTGGACCACAGTTTTGGGCAGTTTGCTTTGGTCCAATCGATTAGAAAAAAGTTTCATTGGATTCAGCGCACCAAAAAACCAAAACATACAAAATTTGGAGAACTTGGATGTTACAGAATTTTTTTCCCGATTTTTTGCATTTTGGCCTCTCTGAGCAGCGGTGCTTATCCTTGACCTAGCAAGACCTAATTTTTTTTTTCCCCTAATAGTACTGAGTAACAAATTACAAATCTTATGAAGGTATGAAGCACAAATGCCATGGTTAGTTCTTAATTGACGTATGGTGATGTTAGACTTTTAGGGTCTTTTTTATGAAAAAGTTAAAATACAGTTTTAACAATTACAACAATAATTGTAATTTTTTTTACTATTATTTTAATAAAAGGCACTGTAAGGGAAATTAATTTATTCAATCCAATTATTTCTTTTCTAAAATTATATTTACACTCTTCTTTCTTTTAAATTGAATCTTCAAACTTAAATTTTTACAAAAAAATAAAATCAATTCTTCTTGACACAATATAAAAAAAACTTAAAATATAATTAAGAAGTATTTAACCTATTGTTAAAAATAAATGAATTCATATTTACGTATGCGCAATCCCCAAAGAATAAAATTAAGGAATAGGAAAAAACTCACATGATGAATGCTGCTTTGATGATGTTTTTTCATAAGATGATTCTTCGCAAGCCAAGTTGAAGCAGCTACGTTCGAGGTGGTTTGTTCGCAGTCTCCCAATGAAATGCCTCCTGTCCACCGCCTTTTAGCCTTTTTGCACTTTTGTCTCCCACGAGTTCCAAAGTCCATCACCTCCTTCACATTCATATCAATTTGTTTGTTACAGTGGTAATATCTTTTTTTGTCATGCTCAGGTTGCTAAAACAAAATTTTATTTTCAAAAGAGGAAAAAGTGACTTAATAGCCATTCCCTTGTCTGAAGATGTATATACAGTTTGCCATTCTTTTTGGTTTTTCGTTTCTGAAAGTTGGAAAAGATCTGTGTTGGGAATCTTTGTTTCTAGTATTGCAAAACTGTGTAGCATATTTAGCCAGTGTGTCAGCTTTCTTATTACTGTAAAGACCCATGTGACCTTTAATCCACATGAAAGAAATCCTCTTTTTTATAGTAGATAAATTATAGATGATCTTTTAATTTCGGCTATGATATAATTATTTATAGTGGCCGATGTATTTTGTGAACATTGTATAGCACTGATACTAGCCATGTAAATTATAATATGATTTTTAATACGAGGGGAGTGAAAAAAAAGGCTGAGTGCTGTCTTGATTGCTAATAATTCCTCTGATAAACTGAATAAATTCTGCTGATTATAAGATGGGTAGAACCAAGAGCATCCACCTCTACCAGCTTTAAGGGATCCATCGGTGTGCATAGTTAGGTGGTCATGGGGAAAAAGTTCCTAGAGATCAGCCAATACTCATTGTTCAACTGTTGCAGAACATTTTCCTGAATATTCATTCAGTCAGTAACAATCAAGGGGTTTTCTGATTACTTTCAGTTCTGTAGAGAAAATTGGAAGAAATCTCCTAATTTGATTATTCTTTGAAATTGAGATAGAGAGGTAAAGCTCAATTTCAAAAGCTGCAAAATGTCAATGGGAATACCTAAGAAATTTTGCTGAATTTGTTCTAATAATTTAATATAATACTGATAACATTGTTGCTTCAGGAGTCAGTCTTTTATTGTAAAAAAATGTTACAAGAGGCTGGAATCAAATCAAAAAGTAAAATGAGAATTCCTCTTCACATCTGACTGGTGGTATTAGCATAAAAATCAAATTAACTCAACAGTGTGTATAAATCATGGATATTTTGGGACTAATATTTACCCATGAATAATACATTATCATTGGTTAACTTCTCTGTAAACAGACCTGTATTTTATTGACTTTGTAAACATTTTTTTTATTGAATAAAACAATTTTTATTTAGAAATCGTGAGATAACTGCTGATGAAACAACATTACATTTTATGGATTATTCGGAGATCGTGAGATGCGGTCTGGTGTGATGTAGGTTTCAGAAAAACATTTTCTTTATCGTGCCAACGTTTTGATCTTTATTGAACTCTGAAGACGATCTCAATAAAGATGGAAACGTTGGCACGATAAAGAAAATGTTTTTCTGAAACCTACATCACACCAGACCGCATCTCACGATTTCTAAATAAATATTGATTAACGGTCACTAATCACCACACAGAATAAAACAATATTATAGTTTAATTACTTTTCTGTTGAACAACTTTAATCCTTGTTTAATTTTTTCTTTGTCTTCTGCTTGGGTAAAAGTTGTTTTTTCTCACTGCATTTCCTTTTATTTTCAGTGTCTTCTTGCATCGTCGATGAATGTATATGGCTCTCTATTATCATTTGGCATATCTTAAATCAAAAGGAATTAAGATTAAAGAGGATTATATGTATCAGTAAAAATCTTTTACTTGAAAAATGACTATTAATGCAGCTATTATGCCGAAAGAACTTAAGTTCGAGGACAGCTTGTTGAAAAATTCCTCCTGGCATCCTTTTGTATATACTGTGTCGTAGTAAGGAAGTTCTTGGCCGAGCCAAATAGATGAGGTATCATTTTGCAGAAGAGCATCATGTAGACAAGGGACATTGACATCAACCTTGCAGCAGCTCGGCGGTACCACTCCCACCTTCAGCGATCCATCTACGTTTATCAAATCCCTATAAAAATTTAATAATTAAAGTAAATGCAAAAAAGAATTTTTTTTCATTTCATTTTACTTATTTTGTAATGTTAGGTCTGTACGTAGACTGTCTATTGGGATCCAGTCCAATTTGTACCAGTCCTCGAAAGAATAAATACCGCAACATTTGTAGTTTTGCTGGATGGTGTCAAATGCAAACCGCCACCTTGGATCTGTGAGGTATTTTCTCATACCTCTTTGTGCTTCGTCTATAATCTCTTTATCTGCTGATCCCAATTCTAAAACAATTAATATTTACACTTAAAACTTAGCTCATGTTAATATGTGAAGATTATGCCATAATCGTAACTAAGTCAAATGATAGGTCGAAATAATTACAGTTAGTCATGTTACAGAGGTCATGTGGCTTTGAGAAGGGTCCAGGATTATCTGGAACGACCACAGTATAGCGAGCTTTCTGACCAATGTAGCTAAGGTTGACAGACCTGATGATATAAAACATAAAAAAGCAAGTATCTTGCCGAGGCCGGTTTATTACCTTGGCGTCTTTTTATCTGGTTGTTCCAGGCATGACAGGGGTCAAGGCCTAGAGGAGGGCTGGACTAGCTGTTTTGGAAGTGATGACCTCGTGGAGTCTTGTGCAGTGTGCTGTTTGAGCTAGGAGATTGTGGAAGCCAATATTCGCAGACAGTACAAAGCATACGGTTGAGTGAGCTCTTGTACTATCTTACTTTGATTTGTTATTGCCTAGTCGCCAATTCTGCCTTCTCTAGACACATACATGCCACTGTATTGACTGTGGTTAAGTAGTGTGAAAGGATGAAGTTTTTTGGAAGTGATAACCTCATGGACTCTTGTGTAGTGAGCTGTTGTGAGAGAACATGGTAGGTGTTGATGAGCCAGAGGGTTGTGGAAGCCGATGTTGGCATATGGTACTGAGTGAGCTATGAGTGTGAGCTTTTGTTGTATCTTGCTTTGATCTGTTTACACCTAGACACCAAGTCTGCCTTTTCTATTGACCAGTGTGAGAAGGGCTTGAAGTTGTGGATCTGTTGGCTATCATAGACTCCCATGCAGTGTCCTGCTCTGTTGTGAGAGACTGTGTTGGTGTTGATAAGCCAGGTGGTTCATTAAGCTGGTGTTAATAGATGGTACATGATGAATGACTAGCTCCCTTGATATTGACTAAGCCAAATATACAGCTAATAAATGTATGTTCATAGTTGAAAAATGTTCATCTGAAAATATGATCAACTTCAACCCGAACAAGTCCAGTGTAATGGTAATAACAAAAAGGAGAAATATTAACAATATTAATGTATGTCTTGGAGGAACAAAAGTAAAGGTTGTAAACGAACTTAAATACCTGGGCGTAATATTTGACAGCAAGTTTACCTGGAAGAAACATGTCGATTACATTAGCCAAAAAGCATTGAAACTGATTAATGTGCTTGCTCGTTCGGCAAAGGTATACTGGGGCCTGGGATCCGAGGTACTTCAAATCATCTATTCAGGATCCATACTACCATTAGTGATGTACGCAGCCCCAGTCTGGATTAACACAGTAGATAATAAGAAAAATCTCACAAAACTCGAAGGTGTACAAAAAAAATCTCTCTACGAATAATAAAAGGATATAGGACAATTTTGTATGAAGCAGCTTGTGTCATGGCAGGGGTAGCCCCCATCGAACTTAAACTAAGGGAACTAACGGATATCTACTTTACCATAAAAAGGCCACTCAACAACAAAACCTTCCCTGCACTTATCGTGGAACCCACACTGCCTTTAAATGAATGGACCCATCTGGCTTATAGAACTCAAGGAACAGAGTCAGTATCATGGCAAGACAAGATCGTCACATCACCAATGGGAGCAAAATGAATAATGAGGTTGGAGCAGCCTTAGCCATCTATGGAAAAGACAACAAACTGCAAGAAACAATACAAATTAGACTCGCTAGCTGGTGCTCGAAGAACCAAGCTGAACTCATTGCTATCCTGAAGGCTCTTCAATGGCTCGCAAAGCAGGATGTTGGGGAAGTGAACAAAAACGCGATAGTGATGACCGACAGCTGCATATCCATCGATAAAATTAAAAATTACAAAGCACAAAGCCTGATAGTATCCAACATCAGAAATATCCAGCGTGATAATGGCTGGAATATCAGTATTGAAAAGGTACCAGCACACACAGGGATCCAAGGTAATGAGGAAGCCGACACAGCAGCAAAGGAAGCTACAGAAAACTCTGAACTAGAAACAACAATCACAGTAGTGCCGAAAAGCTACGAAAATGACATTGGCCCAATGGGAAGAACGTTGGAGACGTACTGCTAAAGGTCTTCAAACTAAAAAGTTCTTCCCAACGGTAGACTCAAGGATGGCAGTAAAACTGAAACACCACCATATGCTTACCCAACTTATAAGCGGCCATGGATGAAATATCTATACAGATTCCACATAACACGGGATTCGGAATGCGACTGTCCAGGGAGACCTCATCAAACATGGGACCATACTTTATTCGACTGCCCCAATCAAGAACCCCGCCGAAAATCTCTAATAAGTTACGTTGTGTATAAAGGTGGACAATGGCCACCCGACCATCACAGTTTGATTAGAGACCATATTGAAGCCTTAAATAATTTTGTTAGTAAAATTGTAGTAAATTAATTGTAAATAATAATTGTATATGGCTATGAATACCTGAAATCACTATGAGATCAGGTACTAAATAAATAAATTTAAAAAAAGAAAAAAAAAGTAGATGGTACAGAGCATAAGGTTTGTGAGCAAGGGTAAGCTGTTCTCACATTGACCTGGTAATTACCCCAATGTCCTCTTATTCGGCTTTTCCAGGGTCATGTGTGAAAAGGGCGATAGTTATTGTAGAACTGTCGACCATCATGGATTCTTGTGAAAAACTGTGGCAATCCAGAAAGTTGTGGAAGTTGATGTCTACAGATGGTACAGAGTATAGGGTCAAGTGAACTTTGACCTGTTATTTACCTAGATGCCCATTCTGGCTTTTCCAGGGACATGTCTCTTTAATTACCTAGGTCTTGCAGTAGATCTGAGAAGGCCTGGTGTTGTGGAGCCTGTAGCCTGCTCGACGCTAAGTGCAGTGCCATGCATTGAACCAAATGCAAGTGTTGAAAGGACCCACCCATTTGCATGCTGGCTTGTGTTTGTTGCTTGCTCCATTTGAAATGAAAAGCCTCTGCTTATATAACGAGGTTTGTATCTTAATTGGATATTGTTTGAAAAGCGGAATCATTCGCCAAGTTCTGATGCCTGTTGGAACTTTTTGGAAGCCACAGGCAGTCACCCAAGTTTACTATAACCTAAAATTGTATTGTAGTGTTATATCATGAATATGGTCAAAAATGGTTACTAAGTTTTTTAGGTAATCCGAAGAAAGTTTCAATCCATAGACATCAGCAATAGATTATTCAATAGTGAAAATAATAGCTGAGCCTACAGACTTGGGCATTTGCCAAATTCACTTCTGTGGCATGGGAATCCACACCATCAATGAGCACCTCAGATAGAAGGATAAAACGAAAGTAAAGGAACCATAGAACTTGCTCATTGGGCCAAAACAATCTACGAATCTCCTAACAAACTCCTAACAAAGGAAAGAGTTAACAGAATGCATTAAAGGAAGCAGGAAAAACTTCGAATCCAGACTGAATGGGCATCTGAAAAAGATTGGTGTAACAACATAGCATGTGCAGATTATGCAAAGAAGCAGAGGAACACCAACATAAATATTAACAAACTGTGGTTCTACACTTGCTCGCAGGAGGAAGTGTTTTCAAATGTATAATGTAACTCTAGAAGAGATTCAACTGTGAAACTACTAATTAAGTTTTGATGAACTAGGACTTACCGGTGTGCTATAAGCACAGAATGGTACACACAGCTTTTAAAGGGCATAGTATAGTACAAAACCCCCCAACTAATACAATTAATCTAATCTAGCCAAATCTAATTTAAAGTTTTTAGTAGTGTTAAGTTTTTTTTGTTTTTTGGTTATACCTGATGGAATAATGAATGCAGACATCAGAATGAATATGCTCATGATTGCACTGAGCCCAAACCAGATCCTGTGTGTCCTGACAGTAGCGGGCCTAAAGGTTCTCGGTCAATTTAAGATGTAAAACCACAATCAAGCACAACTTACAAAGCAGCATGCTTGAGACTGTTTTGTGTCACGATGACACCCATCAGCGAAACAGCCGAGACAGCTATGCCAGTGGCAAATGAAGATAAGTAAACGATTTTGAAGTTGAAGGTGTCTGGGGCAAGGTTGTACAGGGCGAGCAGCGGTTTGGCAGAAAATGTGAGAAGAATGAGTCCGAGGACGCCTTCAGCCCATCCCAAAATGCACAAGAGGAGCCATAGCTTCTTCCTTCCACCTTCCAAAGATTCTTTCATTTCTTCACTTTCCAAAGATGTCTTTCATTTTAAACATCTGATAAAAACTCAAATTGATTTGCTTTATAATTTAACCAAATGAGAATAAACAATGTGTTCTCAAATGGCAAACTTTAGTCCCAATCTTTATATCTTATAGCCATAACTTGGAAAGTGGTCTATTCCTTACTGAGAGCACTTTCCTTGGTGCCTTTTCGTGGATCTACTTGTGTATGAGAAATGTCCTACCAAAGTGGATATGTCGTAAACAGGCTTTACATTCGCCAAGGATATTTGCCAACGTCTATGGTTCCTCCTGACAGAGCCGGCTTGTTTCCATCTTCTTAAGGTGAAAGTTAAAAGTGCAGTGGCTGGTAAGAGGCATATGATTCTTCTTAAATCCAGCCTGCTGAGAGAGAGAAGTTGCTTTGTCTTTCGTTTTAAGATATCTTAGCTTGCCTCATTCCTGAAGTGTTTTAAGTTTTTCTTTCTCAATCCATTTTTCCAGTTTTAACTTAACCACAGACTCCATAGTACTTAGTGATTCTGGTCTCATGGGTGACAAGGTTGTCTCTTTTTTGGCTACCGGTCAGCCTGTTCATTTCCTTCTCTGTCTTCATGTCCAAAAATCCATTTTAAGATAATCTTGTGTTGCTTTCCCATAGTCATTTGGCGGTTTGGCATTTCCAGGCAAGTATGGAGTTGAAAGCATATGCACTTAGTGCCTTTATGGCTGCCTGGCTTTCTGAGAGTTTATCTATGCACATTTCATATTTTTCTTTATTATCTCTTGTACACAGAGTTGTATTGCCAGACTTCAGCTTGGAAAATCCTTGGGGTTAGTCCAAGGGGCTTTGCGGGATGAAATTATTTGATCCTTCTGTGTACCATTTTAGGGCTCCTTTTAGAAACTTGGGGCCATCTTTTTACCAAATGTCTCTACTGTTTACGTCCACTTGGAAGGGTATGCCAAAGTTGAGCTTTTCTCCCAATTTGTCAGATGCCATTGTAGCCATCTGGTGTACTTCAATTCTTTTCAGAATTTTTTGATGGTTTCTCCTTAGGTCTGTTTTTATTTGCTTATGTCTCAGGAGCCGGTTGACGCTTTGGGTAATCATATACGCACATTAAATAAATAACTGGTTCTATTACACAATCTCTTGGTTCACCATGGATCCCATAAGATTGAGATTTTGTTCTTTCAAACTGAACTGACAATACAAGTTGTTGATATGACATAAGCCAAATATGTTTTTTCCATCAAAAGACTTTCGACACACAAAAAGCATTTTCGGCATCCAGAAAGAGCCCGAGGTGAATCTTTTTCCTGTCCAGGATTTGGTCAACTAAGGTGTTTGTAGAGGAATTTAAAATATAAAATTTCCATGTTTTATCAAAAACATTTTATGAGTTTACACTGAACTTATTTAGTTATTATACTAAAATGAATAATACATCTAGAAAAATAAGTACCAAATATCAGTTTTGCATTCACCAGTGAGTTTAAGATAGAGAGGATTTTCCTTCTTGTGTTTGTCAGCCGTCGGTTGAAAGGGATTTATGTATTTATTTATTTATAGGCAATAGCCCATATTATAACAATAAGTACATGAAATACAAACAATATTTAAAACAATTAATTAAGGTTTTTAGTTGAGATAAAAAAGTCAATGCCACGAGCGGGATTTGAACCCACGATCTTCGGCTTGATGATCTACCACTTGAGCTATCGTGACCTCGATTGACTTTTTTATCTCCACTAAAAACCTTAATTAATTGTAATATGTTAATTGGTCGAGCGGACCACGAAATTAGTGAATTTAATATTTAAAACATTGATAATAATTAATTAAGGTTTTGGTTGAGATAAAAAAAAAGTCAGTGTCTCCTTCGGTTAAATACACTGCTGCTCTACCACTTGAGCTATTGTGACTTTTTTACCTCAGCCAAAACCTTAATTAAAGATTAATTAATTGAAAAGAATTTATTTGGTCAATCGGATCATGAAACCTAATAGATTGATTATAATAAAATAGTGACATACATAATTTTGATAACAATGTTTGAATAAAAAAACAATATAACAACAATATATACAAATTAAAAGTTAATTTTCTGGTGCACATCTCCCCATCCAAAGAATAGTGGCAAAGGAACAGAAATACAGATTACTATTTTGTTCTTTTGTTTTTGTAATTGTTATATATAGGCCTAGTAATGTTAATGTATGTTAAACAATAGGCAAAATTACAAATATTAGTCTATGATCAAACTGGTAAACTAAAACTCAACAAAAGCAAGTTACCCAAAATTAAGCAGTGTGCAGTTGGAAAATATATTGATCACAGTGGCAATGTCTACAACCTTGTCAGCTTACTAGAAAAACTACCCTCTATTGACAGCATATACACAAAAAGCTTGCAAAGTTATAAATTGATTAATTGTACTAAAATTAATAATACATCTGATATAGAGTGGATTTCTTCTTGCATTTGTCAGCCAGGTTTCAAGAGATTTATTTATTTATGAGCAATAATCCATATTATTAGAACACGTATATGAAAGACAAAGAATATTTAAAACATGAAAAACATTGAAATATGAAACATTGACAATACTAAAATAATAAATATTTAGGATATTTGCCAGTTGACTTAGGTTAATGAAGCTTTTCTAAAAGCCAACGGTCGTGGGTTCGAATCCCACTCATGACACTAACTTTTTCATTTCAACCAAGACTTTACATAGAAAGAATAATCAATTGAAAGAAGTAATTTGGTTAATTAGACCACTAAACATAATGGGCTTTTGTAAAAATCTAATTTTAGTCGAAATTAAATGAGCGTAAATCCTTATTTAGAGATTAAATAAATATTATTATTGGTCTGTTTATTTTTCGCGTTTATATAAAAAAAGGAATGTTTGTAAAGTTGTGTTTTTTTTTTTTGTCAATTTATGATATTTAGAAATTTGAAAAATCCCGCGCATTTTCTTCCTGATTACGTCACCTTGTTCGGTGCCGGCATGCGGAGCCGGTATCACTATGCTCATCGCGCACTTTGAGGTTTCCTTTTTTTCTCATCGGTCTGCTTGGATTTTCCTTTAATCAGATTTTCCCCGTAAATTAATTTTCCACGTGATAAGTCTTGTTTGATCCTTTTTTTCCGAAATGTCGATGCTACGCTCGTCGAAATTCGTCAAATATTTTATTTCCTTTGCTAGAGGGATCGCTATCAACCAGCCACGAGGGGTGGACGATTCGCTCCTCCAGAAAAGCCGATCGTTAATTGCTTGGAGCAATAGGTAAAATTGTCTTTAAAATGCGAAATTTTTATGTTAAACTACACCTGTACGACATAAAACAAATAATAAAATGTCTAAAAGGACAGTTAATCGTTACTATAATAAGCCATGAAATCCTATAAAAATCAGAATGTTCCACCTGTTTGCTGTTTTATACTATGTTGTCGCAATATTTTACAGCACAAAAGTAAATTCGTTCCATCATGATAAAAACACGGATTAAGGTGTTGGTCTGCAACATACCAGACCAATAAAACATACCATGTCTCATACCTCTGCAGATAAGAAAAATTTATCGGGAGGCTGAGGCAGAATCTCATAGATGTAGATTAGTCGGGGTGTGATATTCTGCTCCCTTTAACAGCCGTTGTATTCGCTGTTCTGTACCTATAGCACACTGTTGAGTCCTAATTCATCAAGGAATTTGATTAGTAGGCCTGGTTTCAGTAGTTGAAATTGTACCCGAGACTTCCTCCTGCGAGCAAGTGTAGGATGACAGTTTGTTAGTGTTGGTGTTTCCTCTGCTTCTTCGCAGAATCTGAACAGAAAACTCGCCCCAGACACCAACTTCAACATCATTTTCTTATCTTCGTTTGCCGTAGGCAAAGCCATCTTGGCTGTTTTGCTGATTTGCGTCATCATGACACAGAACAGCCTCAAGCACGCTGCTTTGTAAGTTGTGCTCGATTGAGGTTTTACATCTTAAATTGACCGAGTCCCTTTAGGCCCGCTATTGCCAGGACACAGGATCTGGTTTGGGCTCAGTTCAATCATGAGCATATTCATCGTAATGTCTGCGTTCATTATTCCATCAGGTATAACAAAAAAACAAACAAAGCTTAAAACTACCAAATACTTTAAATTTGGTGGTTTTGGCAATATTAAATTAGATCTGTTAGTTGGGGTTTGTATTATACTGCGCCCTTTAAGAGCTGGGTTATCCTCTGTTCTGTGCTTATAGCACACCAGTAAGTCCTAGTTCATCAAGGAACTTGATTAATACAGGCCTGGTTTCAGGGGGTGAAATTTTTCTAAAGGTGCATTGTACGTTTAAAAACACTTTTTCCTGCGAGCAAGTGCAGCACCACTGATCTGTGGGCAATGAACTTGTAGTTTGGTTAATTCTGACCATTTTCTCTCTTATCTTATCATTACAACAATTTGATCATCATTGATCACTCTTACTTTTTTTTTTTTTTTTTAAATTATAAGATGGATATTTTTATAGTTCATTTGTCCTTCATGAACTATTGCAAAATTGTTTTGGGTATCTGTGAAATTTTAGATATTTGACAATATTCAACAATATTCTGCCATATTGGTACTTTCTTCTGGAGGTCTTTCAAACATGAAAATTATGTACTACATATTCTTGTTAAAAAATTGATCAGCAGCATATTTCTGCTGTGTTAACTCAAATAGTGCTGAATGAAATTATCTGTTTGTAGGCTTTATTTGTAATTTAATAAACTTCTATTCCAGTGATTTTTCAATATTTATTGTAACATAATATACTGAATATTTGTATATTTTACATTTCAGGTCTTTCGCTAGCGCTTCGGCACACCATGCCACAAATCTTATTAACCGCTCGCTTCAAAAGCTTGACCGAGAAGTGCGAAGGGTCGGCAGGATATCACGAAAAGAGCTACAGGAAGTGTTTGATGAAATAAGGCTCCACAGTAAGTTAAGAAGATCAAATTGGTTCGAACCTGTTTTCCTATTTTTTTTTCTTATTTTTTAAAGATCATGCGACAACCACCCAGTCACTCATGCTAATTAGATGCTGCGGTAATCTTGTCCCAGAAGAGACACCAGAAGTACGTGTTAAACTTGTACACGAAATCTGGGACACTTTCGAAAAGCTAGGTTGGTGTTTTCTAATTTTTTTTAAAACTGAGACAAGATTATTTCAATAGATTTTTTTCAGGTGTGCCTTTTGATATAAGCCATTATAACGCCTTGCTCCGGGTACATTTGGAAAACGAACACAAATTTTCACCAACAGAATTTCTAGTTACACTCGAGCAAAAAGGAATCGAGCCAAACAGAGTTACATATCAAAGATTGATAATGGCTTATTGTCAGAACGGGGACATCGAAGGGGCAAAAAACATTCTTGAATTTATGAAAGAAAAGCAAATGCCTGTGAACGAAAGTGTATTTAATGCATTAATCATCGGCCATTCGCAATGCAAGTAAGGTCTTGAAAGAACTATTTTTGATTTTTTTCTATCCATTTTCTAATCATTTTCTTATTCCAGTGATATGGAGAGTGCTGCAGGTATATTATCTGTCATGAAGCAAGCAAATTTGTTACCTTCAGCAGACACATACACAGCTTTGATATGCGGATATGCCAAACAAGGTGATATAGAAGAGATAAAGAAAGTTCTAGACGAGTGTGACAAAAATGAAGTTTATTTACAAGGGAAAGACATTCTTGAAGTAATCTACAAACTGGCAACTAACGATCATTACGAACATATAGGAATGGTAAGCCATATTTATTTGTTGAATTAAAATAATTTAAAAAATTTTTTTTGTTAGCTTTTAGACTATCTTAAATCACGGTCTAATTATAACCAAGATGGAAAAAATGTAATTTTGAGATTGATCGCAGCTGGAGAAGACAAAGTCGCTTTGGATGTACTCAAAGCTATGCCAAAACCGGTATATGATGAAGAGGAAAATTTAAATGTGGGGAACTTTTTTTTAAGGCAGATAGTAAAGTTAAACCGGGTAAGTTAAATTTAAATAATTAATAGGGAAAATTATTTTCCAAGAAGTTAACACGTTCAATTTGAGATTCAGAGGCAAAGTATTCCAACCTGCTGTGTAATCCATAAGAAAATTATTTTACTAAAAATTTGCCATCCTCGAGGATGAAAATTGAGATTCCACCTCTCATTGAACATGTCAACAAAGAACACATCACACAGATTAAATGAGTTAGTAAGCTTTTTATTTTGAAAATGTTTAAATTATTATCTCTCCATAGCCAGTAGACGTGATTGTAGAAATGTGCAATGAGGTCAAAAATCTCGGTAACAAAAAAGTTTTTTCGGTCGTTGTGGAAAAGAGCCTAGAGTTAAATAATCCTGACACGAGTTCAAAGCTGTTGACTCATCTCGCCAAGGAAGAGCCTGTATGTTTCCACTATTATTGGCCGGTATTGGTCCAGTATGGCAAAGCCCATAACTTGACAGGTATGCTGTTTATTTTGATTTCTTTATTTTATTATATTATTATATAATTTGAAAGTTGTTTTCTACTGTGATTTAAAATTGGGCTGCGAATTGATGGAAAATCGTACTATTTGGCTGAACTTACAGAAAAGCATGAAACTATTGTATTTAATAATCAAAAACTTATATAATGCAAATTAAAAACAGTTCACACATCTTTTACACTATTAAAAAAAAAAAAAAAAAAAAAAAAAACAACCAAAGGCCAACTGGAAAAACAAAAAAGTCTCCCAAGTGGGTGGGCAGTATAGCTGCCTCACATTTATTGCTTGCATATGTTAATCATTTAAGAATAAAATTCAAATGGAATCATCTAGAAAGCAGCCCGCAAAATCCTTGAAAATTGCATAAAAATCAAACAAATGTTTTAAAGACATGTTATCATGGTATTGTAGGCCTCTGATGCTCTTATTTGCCAGCGGGTAAGCAATAAGAGTGTACATGCTTAAACCATTCAATGCGTTACCGAATTCGAGACTATCACCCGTGTACAGGAATTTTTTGCCATTAAACTTGATATATTGATTGCATTTAGGTTCTAATCAACAGAAAAAAATGTTTTGACTTAAAAGTGCATTTTTGTTGCGGGTTTTAGACCGTGACTCCATACAAAGTCAGAGTATGCAAACCCGCAACTGAACGTACTCCGTCCAACCCCTTTGACATGATTCAGATTTGTTGAGACACGAATTATTTAGAATTTTTGTATTCTAAACCATTTGAAAAACCTATTTTGACACAACTTTTCCTTCAATAATGTGTGAACGAGGAAAAATATTTCCATGTTCTAATATTTACAGTTGTTTTATCCAGATTTTTAATTTTTATAAAATTAATTTTAAAAAGAAACAAAACAAAATTTATAATACCGTGTGTTTACAACTGTAAAATTTTATAATTTCAATTTTTCACTCATTTGAATTGCTTGAAATTAAAAAAAAAGTTAAAAAGAATATAAATAAAATAAAATTTAACAAAAATACAAAAAGAAACTAGATTACACGATATTTGAAAAATGGCAAAAAGGAGGGAAAATTCAAAAGGTGTGGTTGAGATGTGAAGTTAGTGTTCGAGTGGATCGCAGTTACAATAGCTCAAGTGGTATAGCAGCGGTGTATCTAGCCGAAGGTCATGGGTTCGAATCCCGCTCGTGACACTGACTTTTTCATCTCAACTAAAAACCTTAATTAATTGGAAGATATTAATTGGTCAAGAGGACCACGAAAACTAGTGAATATATTTTATTATTTGAATGATTTTGTGAAATTCCAAAAACCATGTTGGAATGCATAGCCCCCCCCCCACTTGTTGCTGCATGCAATAAGTGTTTACGTGCAAATGGTCCTGGCTGTGGTGATTCTGGAAGAAATATGATTATTGTATAAATTATAATTTCAAAAAATTGAGATGCAGTTGACGCTTACTACTTCCAAAATGTCGAGACTACAACAAATCCAATTACACCATTTGAAAGAACGCTAAATTTGCTGTAAGATACTTCTGTTTGCAATAATCTGAATGATATAAAATGTTAGCCAGTATCAGTTGGAATATGTCAAAATTACAAAATTTAAAATTTTGGTGATGATTGCATGTTCTATGAGGTTACAAAAAAATACCTACAACTTGTCAAATTTGACAAAAACTTTTTCATCTAATATGCTTTACGTTGATATAGCCAGGTTTTTAAATAACGTTCTAGTAGAGTTGAAAAATAACAATTGAACAATCAATTAGAACTCGCTTTGTAAAATAAAATTATCATTATATTATATAATTACACATTATATTTATTACATTATATGATATAATAATATCTAAACAAACTTATAAGTTGGGAACTGGCTTATAGTATCATTTAATCCTGCATTGTTTAACAGGTGTTCTGAACACATTGAGGCAGATGTCACAAGAGGTTGGTCAGCCGCCGTCAAATGAAACCCTCAGAGATTATGTCATCCCTTACTTTCAAAAGGATATAATCGGAATGAAGGGTATTATCACTCTAAATCAAGCCGGAGTTTCAAAAGCCTCGTCAGCATCCGCATTCGTAGCATATCTACTATCAGAAAACCAAATAAAAGAAGCATGCAAACTTGGTAAAATAATTATTAACTTTTAATTTTTTTAAATGAATTATTTTAAAATGTATAATTTCAGTTTTACAGTATCAATCTAATTACAACGCTCATTTCTTGAGGAAATATCTCGTTTCCGCCTTTATAGCTACAAAGGACATCTCTTCATTTGTAACAATCGTCACAGCTATGGAGAGCAATGATGTAGACGATGTTGAATCAGGTGGCCGTGTTTTACTCGATACAGTTCACTATTTAGGAAGTGAAAGAAGTAAACTTCTCCCTGCCATTTTGTCTGTAAGTATTTTTGAAAAATCTAGTTTTCATGTTTGTCACTGTTAACAAAAACTTTCGTTTTCTTTGTAGAAATTTTTGGAAAATGGCATTTCAATTTCCAACGAAGTAGCTGAACTTATTCAGAACAAACTGAGCGGCGATGAATTGACTGAAGAAATATCCACATTGCTTACTAAATTGACATCGCCCGATCTTTCTTTAGCTGAACTTAGACGGCCAAATAGGAGTAGGCATTTAGAACACGTCCGTAATAGATTCCTTCCTTTCAGAAGACAGTTCCTTATTAAATATTCGTTTTAATAAATGTTCTTTTTTATTCAGGATGAAGAAGCATTACTCAATTTGATTAAAAATGTAGACGAAAGAGGCGAGAATACCTTGGGTTTAAAAAAGCAGCTTTTGATGTTGTACATCCAACATAAAAATATTGACAAAACATTAAAACTATGCCAACAGCTCACCATGGAAGGTTTTGAGTTTCATAGCAACCTCCTTGGGCATCTCTTCGACTTGTTTATCAATTTCAATAAATTGGACGAAGCGTTGAATTGTCTAAACAAACTCAAAAAACACCTTGGCTCGAATGTCGATCATTCAAAAATTATAAAAATGGCCTATTTGATGTACCAACAAAATAAATTTGATGGTATTATTTTCATATATTCTTAACACCTATGGTGTATTATTATAGGTTGATTTATTTTTTTGTGTCTAGATGCGCTTGAATTAATTAACAACTCGGTTCAAGAGGAGGTTAAAAATAATGCTAACTTTCTTTGTTCGTCTATCTGTTGGAAATTCCTTAACTCGTTGGCTGAAAGTGGAGATGTTGAGAAGTTGAAAACCATATTTGAAGCACTTGTAAAAGGAAATTTTATTTCTCCATCTAACGTCCTTCTTGGTCCACTTATTAAAGTCCATATCTTAAAGTACGTTCTCTATTTGACGATCAAATAATAAATTTCATGTTTAAATCAATTTAAATTCATAATGTTCTTTTTATTTATCACATTTTAATTATTTGTCTTTTGTTAAAGGGGTGATATGGAAAAGGCACTAGAAGCATTTGAAGAGTGTTGCCTTAAATATCGAGCAACGCCATGGAAAAATGAAATTGCGTGTAAATTGATTGAAAAAGAAGATTCTACAAATCTACAGCGTGTAACAGATCTTTCGACGCATATCCATGGGGAGGTGAACAGCCTCTATGACCTCGTGCTTTCCTTTGTCGAGTGTGGCCGTATCAGACAAGCCAGGAAAATACTCGAGGTACTTGTCTCATTATTTATATCGTCGAATGCGGGGATGATAAACAGGTGAATTTTTTGCATCATTGTTTTGTTAACGGGTAGTGCCCTGGGGTCAGGTTGGGTTTGGGGTGGGTTAGAATTACGGTTGGAAGAATACCCAGTTCACACTGGGATTGTTTGAGTTGATTCATCTCACGATTCAGAATTTATGCTGAATAGATGCAATGTTCGGACTCAGCCCAGACCTGCTATGCAATGAAAAACCATCTCTTCACCAAAATTCATGTTATTCAGTTCTAAAGCGGAACATGATTGACAAAATAAATAACAATCTTAAAAAAAAAAAAAATAAATAATAAAGAGGTGGGTAAAGCTGGGCGCACACTAGGTCAGTGGGGCAGCGCAACACAGCCTGGCACAGAATTGTGAACATCCACACACTATGTAGGAACTGCTCTCGGCCGCGTTGGTCGAATTTTTCCCCTCCATCTGACTAGTGTTGCGGTTTATTTTTGATTTTGCATTTCCAGGAGTCCCCACGTCACAATCGTTGGCTTCGTCTTTACAAATATGGCGTCTGAGGGCAGCCGAATACTCAACGCTTTCTGGTAGCGGGTTCCAGAAATCTGGCAACTTCCTCCGGCTCTGAGCCGTGCTGCCCTACCAGCCTAGTGTGCGCCCTGCCTAAGAAAACAATATCAAAATCACAAAAATAATAAAGATTCAAGGCCGAACCAAGAAAACTTGGTTGGTGAAACACCACTTCTTTTTTTAAATTTTTTTTGTGCTCACGCCAAAATAGCCCTTCAGGGTGTGCAATTTTTTTTCTTTGAATTTTGTGTCTGAAACATTACGGAACTGCACCGTTTTCAGCACTTTATTTTTTAAATCACGGTTTCTAAACTCACTGGAACTTTCATATCATAAACAATATATATATATATATGTCCTGCATTATACCACTTCAAATACAATTATAACTGAAAAAAAAAAAAAAAAAAAACTAATGATTATTAAAAGCTAACTGAAGAAACGAGGAGGCATGCGACCTCTTTCCTGCAGGATTCACGTCCACACTGGCCCAATGATGTGCCTCTCCTCTCCTAAGGTCTCCTCTTTTTATCTTTTGTGCCTCTCAATTCGGCCGGGACAAAGAAGATGTGAAAATACTAACTAGCAACACACCAATTGCAACAATGAGTCGGGGCACATGGACGCATCTCAGAAGCAGAGTCCCATATGGACTAGATCTTACGGTTGGATTTGTGTTTTTGAAAAGAAAAAAAAATACTTTTTGGAATTTCAATTTTCACCTGGACCTTTAGTGTGTAATTCAATGTCTAAAGTATCACCTGTTGCGGTACACATTTTCCGAATAATTTTCACAGTAATGTGTAGACTTACGTTGTAAGGGAAAGTTCTCGTTGCTGGTCAGGCTTTACTCATAAATAATATAAATTAAAATTTTCTATAAATTTCTTGGACATTTTTTATTTCTTTAGACCCCTGGTTTGAGACAAAGGACACAAAGGATCAATGCTGCTTGTGAGCGCTATACCAGTGAAGGGCGAATTAGCCATCTAGAAAGCTTAGTCGAAGTCACTAAAGACCTCAGTCATATCAACAGAGCAGAGATATACCAATACTTACTCAACTCCTACGGTACGAAAATAAACTTGTCAAAAAGGATCGAAATATCTTTAAAATGTATTTTGTCTGTAGTGAATGAAGATAACGTTGACAAGGCGGTCGGCTTGTGGACCCAGATGCAAGAAGAAGATGTCCAACCGACCAACAAATTTTTAAATATGCTTGCAAAGCTGATGGAAAAGCACAACAGAACTGTCCCTTTCCACGTTCCAGATTATGTTGAAATGGAGGAAGAAAACGCAGGTAAAATTGTAATCAAGATAATGTATAACAGACCAGGCTAATTTTGGGAGTGGTTAGTGCGTTTGACTCGTACTTGCTGCGATTCTGGTTCAAGTCATAGTTTTTAATTCCGGCCATTCTTTACCTATGACCCTTCTTTTATTGACATAGATATTTGCAGTTTTTATAAGTTTTGTAACAGACAGATAACGGGGTATGGAATTACACAGCTTTAATTTTGACCAGAGATGAACAGAATAAGTTCAGATCACTACTTAAGTTATCAGCTTTAGTACATAGTCTAGGAATGGGAGCATTTTTTAGGTAGTTCGTTTTACATAATGGTATAAAGAACAGAGGAGAAAATCTGGTCCTCTTATCTGGTATATTAAAGGATATCTTCTCCAACAATTCAGGACAACTAATCATATTCCTTAAAAGTTTTACAAGAAAAACAATATCAATTGATGATCTACAATCTTCTAATGAACTAATGTTCAGTAAATTTCTGAGAGTTTCATATGATATCCAACTAGAATTTAGACCAAGTTTGTAAGAACAGTATTTAAGAAATATATTTTGAACAGATTCAAGTCTATATATGTAATTGTGATAATAAGGTGATCACACTACTGAGTTAAACTCTAAGATTGGCCTTATCAGAGTAAAAAACTATTTTTAGGCAAAATATACTATTAAAATCCTGTGTATTTCTTTTCAAGAAACCAAGTAGTTTCAAACATGTATTTACAATAGATTCAACATGCAGGCTAAAAGAAAGAGAGAAATCAAAAATTACACCTAGGATCTTTGATATTGTTGTGCTATTAGTTCTACATCACAGATATATTTAAATTGTAATGGACTAGGTTTCTTATGATAACATTGCATTTATCAATATTTAGAGTCATATAATTTAGATCACACCATCTGACTAGATTAGTCACTATAGCTCAAGTGGTAGAGCAGCGGCGTATCTAGCCGAAGACCGTGGGTTCGATTCCCGCTCGTGCCATTGACTTTTTTTATCTCAACTAAAAACCTTAATTAATTGTAATGTATTAATTGGTCAAGCGGACCACGAAATTAGTGAATAAATGATAATGATCAGTTGAGTGAGATTGTTGGTATTTCATAATCTTCTTTTCAATGACCATAGCTTTTAAGCTTTTTTATGTCACATATCCACCCATAATTCAACGTTTTCCCGCGAAGCAAAGAAAATATGCAAGTGCGAAGTCTTTCTCAATGTTATCCAAAAATATTTATTATTCTTAATTAATATTATTTTTAAATAGGTGAAAATGCAAAAAATGCTATTTCTGAACCCCTGAGAGCATTTCGAACAGCTATTTATAACAAAGATGTCGATGAAGCAATGGAATTGTTGCAGTCAAAGTATGTCTTAATTATAATGAAATTGTATGCTAGTACAAAAGGATTTTTTTTAGGTTAATAATAACGGAATTATCACAGAATGACAAGTCAAGGCTGTTAAAGTTGATGATAGACAGCGGCAGAATTTCACTAGCAAGCAGATGTGTAATCGAATGGCTTAAACAGGGTGTGAAACCGAATACTGGGACATTAAGTCTTGTAATTAACAACCTTGCAAAAGTAGGGGATATCGAATCCTTCAATGCAATTGGGCAATATATTTCTAAGGTACATTTGTAATTTTTTTAATAACTTTTTTTTTTAAATTGATTATTTGTTTCAGGATGTTAAAAAGAGGATTTCATTTGTTAACCGTCAGACACATTGCATGGTTGAAGCTGGTCGTGGAGAAGAGATGCTTAATCAGCTCCTTAATGCAATAAGCTCGGCGAATACGGCAGAAGAGCTTGAAAACTGTGCAAACAATTTCCCACGTGGAGGAATCCACTCGGTTCTGCAAGTCATGCCAGAACTCCTTCCCAAATGTATATATTTGATTAATCTGAATTAACCCCTTTATAATAATTTTCTTATTATTTTTAGTCGAAGAAATAGAAAAGGTTTATAGAGACAAAGGAATTATGGGACCGACCAATTCACTGTGGATCTACTACATGATCAACGGGCAAAAAGAAAAGGCCGAAAAAGTTTGGGAAAATTTTAAGACTTCTGACCGCTTCATGTTCCAGCCCATATTGAGCGTATCCAGGCAACGACTCGATGTTTCATTGCTCGATGATTTAATTGAAAAAAGCAAGACAGTTTCTGCCGGCCCTTCAACTTTTGCTGTGATATACAGCTGCAAACTTGACATCATTCGTAAGTCAACTCCCCCCCCCCTGTTTTTGATTATTGTACAAAATATGTTTATATGTTAATGTTTACAGTGAAATTGAACAAAGAAGATGAGGGAAATAAGGTGCTATCTGAAGCACTTGAATTTTGCCCTATTGAAAAAATTAATAGGAATGTGCTTTTAAAATTGAAGAACATGCTGGAAATTAACGGGAAAGAATTTAAATTTGTAATCCCAGAAAAAGTATGTTTCAATTTTTTTTTCTAAATAAGTTTACTCAAAAATGCTTTAATTAATTTATTACTTTTCAGAGTTTAGATGCAACTAGAAATTCTAGCTCATCGAGCGATAGTGACAGCGAAAGCCCAGAATTTGCTGCTAAATTGTATTGATAGTTCCAAAATAATTCGTATTTTCTACATGTTTAGCTAGTCGTTTTATATTAAACTATGTAATTTTTCCAAGCACTTGTTGCTAATTTTTAAAAAATAATGTTTCTGTGTAAATAAAGTTGTTTAATAATAATACCAATAATTTTTTTCATTTTTTCGAAATGCGATAAGTTGAAAGTGGGTTATGAATCTGCAGATTGACCTTCTCTGATTGTCATGAATAGCTTATTCTTGCTCCAACCGACTAATAATTAAATAACTAATCAGCTATAAAAAAAATAAAACCATTAATACATAAGCATCCCCAACCAAAACCACAAATACACTGACAGGCAAAAAATTCTGCCCAATTGTACCATAACTTTATTTGTATATATTTAAATATATTATTCAAAGTTTCACGTTTTTAATGTTTAATAATTGAATCTTTGTCTAAAAGTTTAAAAAATGTAAATTGCTAAGGAAAATGAAAAAAAGTGTCTCCACTGACACGCTCCGCTGTTCCCTAAATATGAACGTTCCTATATGTTTTGTATGTAATGATTTTTTTTTTTGTGTCTGCCACGCTAAGTGCTGGACACGCTCTTGTGCTGGTAGATATGAACTGACCTTAACATGTCGTTGTGGACTGTTTCTGTTTATCTTCTAATTAAGCCGACGTTTCATAAACTTTTTTTACAGATTTTTTTTATGCTTCCCTCTAAACCAGTATAATATTTTAAATATTTTGTGTGATAAATGTGATTTTACATTTAAAAAAATCCTTCAAATATGTGATATTCATCAAATATGCAAAAATATGCTCTTTAAATTTAACTTTCCTAGATACAAGATTCAGACAGATAATAGATCCGATTAAAGACGTACGTGGTAGCAAACAAAATATGCAACTGCATAAAAATCCAGCCTCTAGTTGGAACAATAAAAAAAAATTCAATTAATTAAGGTTTTAAGTTGAGATAAAAAGGTCAGTGTCACAAGCGGGATTTGAACCCAAAACCATGCCCTCCTTTTTGCCATTTTTCAAATGTTTAATTGGATTGGATTCTCGACGACAAATGAAATGACCACGGAGTGCTTTAGTGAAGTATACTTCATTTTAAATCATTAAATTCACTAAGGAAGGAAAACTCAAAAGGTGGGGTTGAGATGGGAAATTGGCCAGAGTGGATCAAGGTCACGATAGGTCAAGTGATAGAGCAGCGGCTATCTAGCCGAAGATCGTGGGTTCGAATCCCGCTCGTGCCATTGACTTTTTATCTCAACTAAAAACCTTAATTAATTGTATTAAAAACAAGATTGAACCAAAGTGATATCCTTGGGGACACCAGATTTTGTTCTGGACACATGGCTCTGGAAAGTTTACCTCTAAAATTTACGTTAAACGTTATTCATAGGAGATTCTAGAGATAGGATCTAATCCAGGCGAAGAAACTGCCACCAAACCCAAACTGCAATCCATGGTCAACCATATCGAAATTTTTAGTAAAACCCCTGTAACTTGTGTCAACTTCATTACCAATTCATGGAATTATAACAACTTTTAAAATTATTTCTTACAAATAATTTATCTTTTTTATGTAAGGATTTTAGTTGAGATAAAAAAGTCAGTGTCACGAGCGGGATTCGAATCCACGATCTTCGGCTAGATACGCCGCTACTCTACCACTTGAGCTATCGTGACTTCGATCCTTTAATTCATTAAATTCATTACTTTTCGTGGTCCGCTTGACCAATTAATAACATTCAATTAATTAAGGTTTTAAGTTGATAAAAGAGTGAGTTATTTTAGCGATCGGCTGGAAATATTAACACCAGTCCCTAAAGGTGAAGCTTCAATTAAATTAAAATATTCTCCAATCAACATTGGAAAGTTCAGGTGAAATGTTTTAATAAAATTAAATGTTAAAATATACTATTAACGCAAACAATTATTTTCAGGTTAAGACTGCAAGTAAGGATTGCTTTTGAATTGCTGAAAGTTTACAGGTTCTCTGATAGATATAGACCAGGTTAAAAGCATATTTTCTGGGACGAGTATATATTTTTTTGGTTTCACCGTGTTTATCTCTTCAATCCATGTAATTTTTTTATTTATTTTTTATTTTTTTAAACAATACCATTGACGATCTTATTACATTGTTTAGTTCCTTCTTGAATTCTTGGCTATGAAAAGCGATGTCAATTTTTGGAACTCTAAAAAAAATTTCGTAGGCCTCTCGGTGAAAACAGTGTGTTGGAGAGCCTTCAGCCAAATAGCCATCTTTTTGTATTTGATCGATGAAGAAACTTCTTTGATTGTTATAATACCAATGGGATTTAGCACTCTAATTGAGGTGAGATATCTTTAATTAATCCATTAGTTGAGCTTTATTAAAAACTAATTATTTAATTCAAAAATTTAAATGTCCTTTAATAGAAGGTTAACACAGGAGATTCCTGGGGGACCACGGTAGTGGAGTGCTTAGGACGTCTGACTTGTATTTGTCATGTTCGGTTCTGGGTTTGAATCCTGGCATAGCTTATCACTTTTAAATTGATTAACTTTTGGGACTGAGGTGGACGAGTGGCTAGTGATGTCGAGTGGTGTCACGAGCGAGATTCGAACCCATGACCTTCGGCTTGATACACCGCTACTCTTGAGCTATCGTGACTTCGATACCCTCGGTCACTTCAAAAAGTGGGGTTGAGAAGGGAAGTGCCCAAGGGGATCAAGGTCACGATAGCTCAAGTGGTAGAGTAGCGGCGTATCAAGCCGAAGGTCGTGGGTTTGAATCCCACTCGTGACAGTGACTTTTATCACAACTTAAAACCTTAATTAATTGAATGTTATTAATTGGTCAAGTGGACCACAAAAAATAGTGAATTTAATGAATTAAAATGAAGTACACTTCACTAAAGCTCTCCGTGGCCATTTCATTTGTCGCCGAGAAGCAAATAGATTACAGGACATTTGAAAAATGGCAAAAATGAGGGAAAATTCAAAAGATGGGGTTGAGATGGGAAGTTAGTGCCCGATCGGATCGAAGTCACGATAGCTCAAGTGGTAGAGTAGCGGCGTATCAAGCCGAAGGTCGTGGGTTCAAATCCCGCTTGTGACACTGACTTTTTTTATCTCAACTTAAAACCTTAATTAATTGAATTTTATTGATTGGTCAAGCGGACCATGAAAAATAGTAAATAAAGAAAATGTTTTTCTAAATCTACATCACCAGACCGTATCTCATGATCTCTAAATACTACGCATATAAATATAATACTTAAGTCAATGTGCTAAGATTTGGGTTGGGTAACAACTACATAAAATATAGTTCACAAATAGACTAAATTAACAATAAAAAGTTTACTATCCGTGTATAATATTTAATAAATAAAAAAAAGTGTATAAATATTTATCACATCACTGATATAACGTACGAGCTAGTTTTCTTTCTGGTAGTTGTTTAAATAGGATTTAAGCATTGTTACTTGAGTTGATCATCGATATAGAAGCCGTCAATGTATGAGAGTCGAGGCAGTACATTGAAAATAGCGACATAATGGCTGTTTAGTCGGCAAAGAGGATTTCCGATGAATGTCAGCTCTTTTAGCTTTGGCACATGCTGTAGATTATCCAAGGTTTCTTGGTCCTAAAACCATATTAATTATGAATGATATTACCGAGGGATTATGTCTTTTATTAGCTTACTTGTATTCGATTAAAACCGATGAAGAGTCTTTTGAGGTTCTTTAAACTTCTCAAGAAGCTCAAATCTTTAATTTGGTTCGACTCGAGATATAAATCTCTCAGGTTGAAAAAAGATAAGAAATCATTCACCGATATTTCTGTCAATTTGTTTCTATCTAATACTAAATTTACAAGCGTGGTATTGTCTCTCAGACCTGAAAGTAATTTTTTAAATATTTGATTGAAAAAAATAATCGAGTTTGTTTACCGTCTAAAGAAGTGATTTGATTGTCTTGAAGGAATAAAGTCGTAAGTTTAGGGCAACGGTTAAGCTCTAAAGGGTTAAGGTCTGTTATATTGTTGAAGTTGAGATAGAGCACTTCGAGCTGATCGAAATCCTCAGCGCTATCGCCATATCTGCTTATTTGATTGAATGAAAGGCAGACTGTTTTTAAGCTTTTGAGATGGGAGAGCGGACTCAATGTCGATAAGGCATTACGCTCTAGGTTCAGACTTGTCAGGTTCATAGTAGCTAAACTGCTTACGGAAATCTGAAGAAAAACTGTTAAGCTTTGCCTTTGAAGTAAGCAAGACCATAATACCTGTCTCAGGCCAACTTTCTTAATCGTCAATTCAGTCATGTGCATCAGCTCTTGCGGTTTATAAAGTTTGTGCAGATAATCTTTGTCGAGGAGGCCACTCAGTGTATTTGTAGCAGCAGTAATGTCTTGCTCGCAAATAGCCACACCATTGACATACTTAAAAAAAAAAAAAAAGTTTCTTGGAGTATATTTTGTTTTAGAATATATTGAAAAAATACCTCAATTTTTGGGCCGTGAAATATCAAAAATTTTCTCAGCATTGATGGGTCGTTTATGTTGTTGTCGCACAAATCGACAATGCGCAACATTTTCCAAGTTTTTGTAAACTCCATGACTTCCCACTTTCTTATATCATTTGACGAGGCATAAAGCTCTTCTATCGTAAGAAATGATTCAATGCCGTAGAAAGATTTTATATTATTCTTTGAAACATTCAAGACCTTATAAAATAAAATAAAAATATTATATTATAGTTATTTAATAGTTTTAAGAATTAAAACCTTAAGTTGTGGTAAATCGATGCCCTTGAATCCTTCAAGAGTTGTGATGTAGTTGCCCATTAGATTCAACTTCACAAGGTATCGCAGTCCTGCGAATGAATCGCCGACTTTCTGCAAGAGGTTGAACGAAACGTCCACTTCTTTCAGTTTATGCATCATACTTAGAAATTTCAAATTTGTCAACTGGTTGTTCTTGATTGTAAGCCAGCGTATGCTCCCTTTGGGCGAATCGATCTGGAAGTCGTGGAAACACTTGTACTTTTCAATATAGACGCAGGTCAACTCCCTCTGCTCGTTGATCGCGATATGGGACGTGGTACGGAAGTCAGAGTGCTTGAGGCAAAGCGGCCCGCTCCAAGACAGCTTGATCGGCTGTTTTATCCTGTTCATCGTCGATTCGGACAGATAGGCCATCGGGAGGTCCTTCATGCTCAGTTTATAACAGCTCATTATGTTCTCACTTCCAAGCCATTCATTATTAAACTTTCGCAGTGTGGGAAAGAACTTATAAACGAAATATTGGATGTGCTTTTGATCATAAACGTCCTTGAATGCGTTGTAGCTCATGTTAAGACTCGTGAGGTTTGGACATGCCTTGTTAAGATTCTGCAGGGCCACTAATAATAACGAAAGTCGGTTCCACTGTAAGTCAAGCTCTTCTAAGCGATGCATTTCCTTAAAAAAGAAAAAAAAATCATCACAGAACAACTTCATGCTTAAATTAAAAATATTTGTCTTCCAGTCGTCGGTTTAACAAAAATTACCATCAGGTTGTTGACAGATGTAATTTCATTGAAGGAAGCATGCAATCCCTCTAGGTTTGGAAAAATTCTGAACACTTCTTGCAGACTGGTTAGTTTATTGTAAGTTATATCCAGCCGTTTTATGCTATGGATTGGTGTCACCGGACCTACGAAACCCAATATTCTTATATTTGTCTGACTTACACGATAAGATAATTGTACCGAAGGACGAAAGACGACACTTGGACAGTGTGAGTGAAATCAGACCATGCCAGGAGACAGTTTCGAACTTTGTGCTTTCCATCACGCTCGAGAAGGTGGGCGAGTTCTCGTAGATGGCCCCCGAAGGGATGTCAAGTCTGCTGCTGTCCTTTTCAAAATCCTGTTAGAAACAATTTATAAAAAGACCAAACGCAATGTCGTCATTGACAACTTCCACTCACAAATTTGATTTTGTACTCGTAATGGTAATGCGTGACAAAAATTGGAAAACTGTTCTCCCATAAGTTTGTCTTGTACAGTTTGCATATCGTGCAAGGCTCTCTCTGTTCCACTTTGTCCGACACGTGTGACACACCAAGTTCCTCTTGCGAACAACTAAATAAAATTTTTATCAATAATTTTAATTATATATTTAAATGTTTATATCTTACCATTCAAGTGCTGCAGGTGTAAGCACGTAAGCAAAGATTAAAACTCTATGACCTTGCTTCTTCTCATTGGTTAAGAGTATGTTCTTGTAAATTCCATTTGCCGTAAGCCATTCTTTGTCTGCTATTCCGATGCTATTTGTGATCGTACAGTGCTTTTGAGATCCCTTTAAAATCAAGGAGTAAAGCAAATTATAAACTCAGAAAGCAGTTTGGTCCTTTACCGCTTTAGGAGCCAGGTAATTCTGAATGAACTCAAATGGCCATTCTTCCAGGTCGACAACAGCGACAGGCGAGTTGAGAATGAGGAAGCGATCTTCCAAGGATGCGTTTTGCTCAATTTCAAATATACTCTGGAGCCTGTCGTACGAGTTGTGGTTTGTATGTGCGATATGTATCACCTTGTCCACTTTTACGCTTTCCAAATTAATTTGCCTATAGAAATATATAAACATAATAAATACACAAGACAATAAAAAATTTAAATTTCACCTACCGTTTAAGTGATGGGCAAAGGTAAGTTTCAAGACATTCTTCAAGTATACTTAAAAGTTTAGAATCTTCGCTGTGCTCGATGAAATGGACATTTCCAAAATGTTGAAGCTCAAGTTCTAGGAGATTCAATTTTATCTAGTTGAACAATTTAGAAATTAGCAAAAGCTTGCTCAATATGTCCCACTAATTGAAGGGTTCAGTTCCTCGGAATGCCACCCGATTTGAGAATTGTGTTTGAATATGGCAGAAAATATTTGGGACCCCTGTTCTGATTCTTGTTGGAAACGGGGTTGTTCTATTGTATACAGTAATAATAGTTGTGTATACCTAGTTTGTATTGAGAGTGAATGTATTTATTAGCGTGAATGTGAGAGGGTCAATGGCGGAATATCGAGTACACCATTGTTCTTCAATTAGGTTAGTATAATATGTGTAAATGATGATGGAGGAATATTGAGTAAATAATTTGGAACTGCATCTTTTAAATTGACAACACCCCCTCCCTTCGGAGACCAACCGTGGCTGGATGGATAAGACCGAGGGGAATAGGTTCAATTTGGCACAATGTTTGTGTGCTGGACTGTGTGGAGTCTATATAAATCCAAAATCTAATTTAGAAAATAAAATATTTCGTTAATAGCTACAAAAAGATTCTTAATTCACCTCAAGGTTTTTGTCCAGAGCTTCGTTACACCGACCGTGATTACATTCCCAGTTGAAAGCTGCGCTGTCAAGCAACTGACGGAGTTTTTTACATTCCTCTTTTAACTTCCAGTCTTTTTCTTTCTCAGCCTTAAATAAAACTAACACTAAGTTTATGTTTAATCAATTTTAAAACCTATGGACTAATATCAAATTGTACTTTTACAGCAGTAAGTGCATTGATGTAGTGTCTTTTTTTTAAGGCTCTCATGTCGTTGAAACTCTTTAAAATCTCCTGGTTCTTCTCGTTGAAATATTTATTCCAGGCCATTGAGCAGGCCATATTGTAATACCGCATCTTTCTATTGTAGTACATCTAAAATACCCATTTAAAACAAATAAATTTTGAATAAAGGAACATCTTTAATATAATTTACTTTAGCAGATTCTCTTTCTTCTTCTTCAATCTTAAAATAATCCAAACTTTTCAACTGTGGCATTTTTCTCACAATATAGGATCTATAATTAATCAGTGATGTGACAGGTGTTGCTTCGTACATTTGGTCTGCAAAAATAAGGCTCTGCAGTTTTGTCAGAGGAATTAATATATCAATGTCCTAAAAATGAAAAATATAAGTTTAATATCTTCCATTGTTTCGTAATAACTCATAAAGGGGTTTACATTCAATCTCCTAATGTTGTTTCCGGCGAGATTGAGTGTCTCTAACTTATGGCATCTGCGCAAGCTATCGATGTGTGAAATGTTGTTGTCCGCAAGATTCAATTCTCTCAATTCTTTGGGTATGTTTTCCTAAATCGGATTTCCATTTTAAAATCAGAAATTACAAAAACAAAATGTCAAATTCATACGGCGATGCTGTCGAGTGAATTTCCAGAGATCCAAAGCGTGTTAAGTCTTTTCAATGGCTTCAATTCAGGAAATTTCGTCAGCTGGTTCGAGTAGAGGTATAGCTTTTTCAGATGTGTGCACGTACTTACTTGTGTTGCATCCTGACAATAAAAAACCCATAATATATTATAAAGTATATCAATTAATATTTTTGGAAAATATTCTTTTTCAACATTAAAACTTTTTTTGCTTATTGACATCTGAGGGCAGTCAGGATCCACAGTACTGATGGAGCAATAATGCCTCCCACTGCTTAACTGGAATTCTTCTTGCATTATCCAGGGAGAGACAAGAGCCAAAATTAACAGGCTAATACAGGACTCACATAAAACAGAGCAATTAATACAGTGAAGGAACCTTCATTTATAGACGGTTCGAGGGTCACTGAGGGGGTCGGCAGCGCAGAATGCTGGGAAAAATACGCTAAAACAATTCCTCTCCCAAAGGCTGCAAGTATCTTTACCGCAGAGTTGACCGTCATATCATCCGTGCTGAGTGAAACAACACATTGGGTGCAACCAATATGTCATATGCACCGACTCACTCAGTGCGGTCTTAGCCATCCGTAATATCTTCTCCATGGACCCACTAATCCAGGCAATACAAGTGAAAATCAGGGAAATACACGAACAAAGAAAAGAGGTAGTTATTGCCTGGATACCGGGTCATATAGGCCTAGAAGGTAATGAAAATGCCGATCAAGCTTCCAAATGAGCAGCGATAATGCCACTTAACCCAGAAACTCCCACGAGCCCACCGGATGTCAAAAAATATTTGAAGAATCTTTGTTGGAAAGATTGGCAAAACTGCTGGGACAAAATGACCGACAAATTAAAAGCCAAACAAACTAAATACACTAAAACAGTCAGTCAAACCGTGGGAGCATAACAGAGAGAATAATTAATTAAGGTTTTTAGTTGAGATAAAAAAGTCAATGGCACAAGCGGGATTCGAACCCACGATCTTCGGCCGCTGCTCTAGTGGGTTGAGATGAGAAGTTGGTGTCCGAGTGGATCGAGGTCACGATAGCTCAAGTGGTAGAGCAGCGCCGTATCTAGCCGAAGATCGTGGGTTCGAATCCCGCTTGTGCCATTGACTTTTTTATCTCAACTAAAAACCTTAATTAATTGTAATATATTAATTGGTCAAGTGGACCAATTGGCGCCACACAGAACAAAGTGTGGCCTTTCCTCGAGTTTGAAAGAGGTTTTACAACGCAGCAATGACAATAGTAAGAAAGTAATCGAATATCTGAAGCAAATAAATGCATATGGTCGCCTTTAATGCTTCCCCACACATGGTTTCGTTTTGCCTTCCTGAAGTGAGTGTATTTATTGGCGAGAATGTGTGAGTGTAGGGTGGGTAGTGGTCGGAATATCGAGTTCACCACAGATCCACCAAACTAGGATAGATATCTCTTTGTGTTTTGGGTAGAGTGAATGTATTTATTGGCGTGAAAGTGAGTGTGTATGGGTGGGTTGTGCAGGAATATCGAGTACTCCACAGACCCACCAATTTAGGTTAGTATTAGGCTATAATATCTTTTAGAGCGAATGGGCGGAGGCACTGTTGTAATATTAAATCCGCCAATGGCTCCGCATTTTTTTAATTTGTAAATACAGAATGATTGGTTACTGTTTGAGTGAATGTATTTATTAGTGCGATGGTAGTGTATGCTTGGGTGGGTCTATGGAGGAATATCAAGTACCCCATAAACCCACCAACTTAGGTTAATATTTTAGATTAATTGTAATTTTAATTGTACATAATATATGGATGTATTTATTAGCATGAATGAGGGCGGGTGTTCAGAGGAATATCGAGTACTCTGAAACCCGCATATAGGCTAGGCTAGGATTGAATGTTAGTTAATGAGATAGTTTCAGAGCCTTTTTACCACATGTGGGAGGGCTAAAAATGTAGAAATAACGTCCCAGAACACAACCAGAAAGATTACCAGACTTCCTACAGAAAAGCTAACTTAAAAAAAATATAAATAAATAAAATATATAAATAAATAAAAATAAAAATAAATAAATTTTTAAAACATGAGGTACCAGACAGCTTACTAAATGCTCGGCCCACATACCCCCTCTCCTTTGCGGCAATAAATGGCAAATCCTGCCGAAAGAAAAGGCTGAGACATTTTCACAATGCCTAGCTGACCACTTTAAGCCAAACCAAACCACNACTCCTGCCCACAACAGCTCCAGAGGGGAATTGACAACATCCTCGATGCCTTCGAACATAAAAAAGTCACGCTGGGGTTATTTCTTGATACAGAGAAAGCTTTTGACAGAGTATGGCATATAGGACTATTAGCAAAAATAAAAGACAGCCTACCGGAAACCTTCAACTTATCCTTTCCTACCTGTTGGAAAGAACTTTCTGTGTCAAAGTGCAGGACGGCATTTCTGAACCAAAGCCTATATTTTCTGGTGTCCCACAAGGCAGCATTGTGGGGCCTCTCCTCTATTTGGTGAGCGTGAGTGATCTCTCATCCCAAATCCCAGGAACAGTCAAGACAGCACTTTTGATGATGTGGCTATATTGAGCACAGGGGAAACCAGCGCAGAGGTACAACAGAACCTGCAACAAGTCACTGACCAAGTCTCTGAATGGGCGGACAAGTGGAAAGTCAAGCTAAACCCAGATAAATCAAAATTAGTCCAGTTCACTTATCTGAAAAAAGCCAATGAATAACAACTGGTACTAAATAATAAGAATATCAGTGAATCGACACACACAAAATATCTGGGTGTTACTCTTGACCGGAGGCTGACTGGCATCAACACATGATGTGCTAAAGAGATCACGATGCAGACTAATTGACCTCAAACCACTACTTAAGAGCCCAACTATCAGTCTGAGCAACAAAAGACTAATATGTCCCTCATTCGACCCATATGGCTATATGGCTCTGGTGTTTGGGCCTCAGCGTCGAACAGCCAAATTAAGAGAATCCAGTCGTTTCAAAACAGGGCCTTACGGATTTTAACTGGAGCCCCCTGGTATGTGCGAAATACCACACTGCACCGAGACCTGGACATTCCTCTAGCGGACCATGCACTGAGAGACAGCTACCGGAAGATGTTTAGCAAATTCCAGTCCCACTCAAACACAGAAATCCAAGGAATACCGGACCACTGCACGTCCACACCGCAGACTCAAGTGCAAGGGACACACTGATATGATAACTAACTATAATTAACTGTGATAAACTGTGATAAACTGTGATTCAATTAGATTAAATCATGTATAAATAATTAATAGGGGGAGCTGCTGATCTTACAGATCCAAGAACTGTTTGATGCTGTTAAACATTATGCCACAACTATAAGGTACTATGTACAAAAGTTAAATAAAGATATATATTAAAAAAAAAAAAACCGAGAAGAACTTCAGACAAGGTTCTAGGACCTATCGATGGAATGATCCCAAAATTCAGATTCAATAAAAAATGCCAAAGAATGAAGACCAGACTGGGATCCAGTGTACAGATGTCTAAGACTGAGTATAAGTCACGAGCTGGTATCTATAAAAATTAACCAAGGACTTATATTTATACAGGCTTTGAGAAATATACTGCTGTGTTTTAAGCATGGTATTGAGATCTCTTCCAAGGAGATCAAAAGTCTCGGTAGTACTAGCAAAAGAATAGCATTCTTTTTGTAGCCAGGCAAGACTAATCATCGGTAGTTCAGAGCTGTTTGGAATTATATCCAGGACCTGTTAGATATTGAAGACAGCAAAAAAATTACCTCTATTTGAGTACCAAGGCAGAGGGGCAATTTGAAATTACAACTGCCCTGCAATAGCTAGGAAAAAATTACAGTACCTAGGATAGACTGAGCTAATGTCCTAGATAATATCCTAAGAAAAATTCCGTACTTCATTAAATAAAAGAAAATGTTTAAGGAAATTCATAAGCAGAGATCGACCACGATAGATGAAAGCTAAAGGGGTCAAACCCTACGACCCCAAATGAAGTTAAAACAAATTTGAAACTACTTTCAATTGTTTTAGTTTTTTATTTGTGCGTTCTGATCCCTCATGAAGCGTCCTATTGTTATACGAACACTTTATAAGGCAAAAGAGGTCACTTTGTGAGGTTTCAAAACATATAAATTAAAAACTAAACCAGTAGAGAGTATTTTCAGATAAAAGTATACAAATATCTTCTATCATTTGTCGAAATATTTTAGTTTTTGAGTTTTAAATTGTATGAAATTATGCTTAAATGTTCCATATATTTAAGAAAAGCATTCCTAGATGCAGTGTATATTATAATAAGAAATAAAGTAGATAATATAATTTAAAAAAAATTTATCGCTGTTATACAATGAATATTAAGAGTAGTAGAAGTTGAAATAAAAACTTTTTCCCTATCAAAATATTAAACAGATTGATCATGTGTGTTTTTAAAATTAATATTATTTTCCAGGCTTGTAAAAAAGAAATGTTCAAAATTTCAAGATGCGTTTGAAAATTTTTAAATGACCGAGCAGGAACAGAGACTGAGGGCTTGATGGTAGGTATATACTTGAATCAAGTGTAATGTAAATTTTTATTTAAATTCGTCAATACTGCCAGTTACAGCTTACCTTGAGGGAAGATTCAACCACCCAAAGCTCTGATAGGTTGGTCAGCGTTTCGATTCCATCCAAGTTCGTGATTGGCTGACCGACAATGATGAGCGTCCTCACATTTAGGTTGGTTATTCGGCTCATTGAGATCAGCGTCCGCCCAAGGCTGTAGAAGTAGTATTCCTGGGACGCTGCCCCGCCCTCCTCATCGGAATTCTCGTTCATATTACCTTTTTTTTTCTTTTTACTAACTACCCTGTGATTTTCTAACGACTTAGGTGAAGGAAATTGGTATTTTTTGGGGGAGAAAACAGATCACATGGAATTTTGAGAAACAAACAAATGAAAAATAAAAATTTTGTTAAAACAAGGTTTCTGTTTTATTATTTTTATTTCCATCATAATTTTTTTTTTAATTTAAAAAGTTAATATACAAGAGAAGTATTAAAAATCTTTCAAAGACAAAAAAATAAAAATTAGTACACATTAAAATGCATTAATTAATCATGTTCTCCCTTTCTTTAAAGGCTTTAACCTTTATCCTTGTATTAGGAATAAGGAAAAATAATTATTTAAATAATAAATTATTTAAATAATAAATTATTTAAATAATAAATTATTTGCATCTTGAAACAAAAATTTTCTAATAGGGCAAGGAAAACGATATTTTTTAAGGGCAAACCGCATGGAAATTTGTATGAAAACAGATGGAACATAAACTGTTTACATAAAAGACTCACATATGCAAAAAATCAAAGCCATAACATAAATATTTTGGTGTCAAGAGCAAAGAAGTTTCCGATTGAATCAGGAGTATTACAAGGTGTTTTATGAAGTATACTTTTGTTTTCAATTTATATAAAAAAAGGGTATTACTTCTTCAGTCGTTATGATTGTAATTTATTTGAATAAACATTGTATTATATTTCTAGGATTAAGCAATGTAAATAATGTTATAACAACATGTATCGTGTATATGAATGCAGTTTTTTTGATAAAATATATGAGCAAAAATCCTGTCATACAAGAAATGGATTAACATCCTACATGTTGCGTGTCACAGTCAAGGGGAAAAACCACTTTAAAATAGCTTTTACATATTTTTTCAAATTAAAATCCATGTGTTGTGTCAGGATTTGAACCCAGAACTACTGGCATGGCAAATATGCCAACCATTCTGCCAGAGGTGTCAACTTATTTGTGTTTGCTGTTGTCTGTATTTGAGAGAGTATATTTGTTTGTATTTTATATGTTGGTTTGGATTTGGTAGTTTGTTTCAATTTCATTTTGGATGTTTGTGTGTGAGTGGGTTAGTCTGTATGCAGTGGTATTTGTTATCTATTAGAGCAATTTATGTGTCAGTGTTTCTGTGAATAATTAACTTCATCAACTTTTTCCTCTGCACGGAAGAAAGTTGCTTTACCTTCATTATCTAAAGCTCTAGAAATCATATCTAAATAAAATAATTTTCTTGATACTCATTCACTGCTTTCATCATTTCAATATGATTTTCATCAACATAGCTGTGAATCGGCCTTACTAAAAATTAGTGAAGCCGTACAAGGAGGCTTAGATATTCACAAATGTACTTAGTGCTGCATGACTTTTCCATTGCTTTCAGGCATTTATACAGGCATTGTATAAATTTATTTTTTTAATCTAAAATTTTCTAGCATTGTATAAATTGATTTTTTTAATCCAAAATTTTCTAGCATTGTATAAATTCATTTTTTAATCTAAAATTTTCTAGCATTGTATAATTTCATTTTTTAATCTAAAATTTTCTAGCATGGTATAAATTCATTTTTTAATCNGTATAATTTTTTTTTAATCTAAAATTTTCTAGCATTGTATAAATTCATTTTTTTAAATCTAAAATTTTCTAGCATTGTACAATTTTTTTTAAATCTAAAATTTTCTAGCATTGTATAATTTTTTTTTAAATCTAAAATTTTCTAGCATTATATAATTTTTTTTTTAAATCTAAAATTTCTAGCAGTATATAATTTTTTTTAAATCTAAAATTTTCAAGCATTGTATAAATTCATTTTATTTATTTTTTATTTTTAATCTAAAATTTCTAGCATTGTATAAATTCATTTTTTCACATCCTACATGTATTTGTAAAATTTAAACAACGTTTATAAATCCCAGGCCCTGAGGATGATTTCAATAAACATTGAAATGCTGGCACAATAAAGAAAATGTTTTTCTAAAACCTACGTCACACCAGACCGCATTCCATGATCTCTGAATATCAAATAAAAAAGTTATCCTAAATAAAGAATGAAAACATCTATTTCAGTGTTAACTATTAAGTTTATTTAATATTAGTTATGGCTTACTTTAATGAAAATATAAAACACATGGAATTAAAACTTACTTTATTTACACATATACAATATTTACAACAAACAATAAAAAAGAACGAAATAAAACAACTATTTTATCATTTACGCTTAAAATACAGTAGAATACAACTTTTTAATAAATAAAACGAAAAAACCTATTAAAATTTTAACTTTATTAATATACAATAACAGAATATGAGAACACAAATGGCGATAATAAATTTTCTGAGCAAGACAGAATTTGTGCCTTTAATGCTATGTACTAGTTCATTGTTCAACTCAAAGACCCTTTTACTCTCCGAGATAATGGCGTCTTTTGTTTCGTTGTCAAAGTACTCAGCAAGGGAATTGATCTTGTTTATAATTTCCTTCTTGAGGTTGAATATACTCAAATTTGAAAAATCCGTCACTGCAGCTCCTTCTTTTTCCTTGTTCGTTGCGTTGACTTTTTCAAGGAGGGAACGCTTCTTCATAAGTATCTGTCCCCCTGAGAGCAAGCCCATGTACAGGTGGTACACATAGGCGATGAGCAGATTTGGATTGTCGGCCTCAAGTTTGCGCAGATGGGCGAGGTAATTCCCGACACTCTCTCTTATCGTGTAGTTCCGACGCCAGTTATCTCCTAGGTAGAAGTTGAGGTCGCTTTCGAATGCTTCCGTCCTTCTCATCCCGTCGATAAACATCTCGCCGAGCGGTTCGCCACAGTGTCGTTCCATCGCTTCTTCCAAATATCGAAAAATTTCATAGAAGACGAGCAGTCCCTCCGCCCAGATGTCATTGTCTGACATGGCTGCAATATTTATTTATAATATTATCTTGAGTTCAGACAAAATATTGTTCTACAAATTTTTGTAAGGTAATTCACAAGGAAGCTTCGCACCCCTCAATATAATGAAATAAATAAATTCTACTATATTAAATATTGCTTTTTTCACCATCAAACTACTAGGTTTAGTGTGAAGAAATCTACTTCTTTTTTTCTTTCTTTAAATATGATTTCAACCCTTAACCTCATCACACCCAATAAGATTTTTCTTATTGAAATAAAAATTAATTGGATAGAGCGCCTAAACTGCCTAATGTCTATGGAAAAGCAAAAATTACATTAAAGTTGGTTCCTGGATATGAAGGCATAGAAGGAAATGAACAGGCTGTCCAATAGCCAAAAATGGTACAACCCTCTCACCCGCTGTGCTTAAGTTGGAACTGGAAAAATCGATCGAGAAAGAAAAATTTAAACAGTCCAAGTATGAGGAAAACTAAGATTTATAAATCTTTGAAAGCAGAAGGTGAAGGAATTTCTCTCTAAGCAGACAGGATCTAAGGAGAATTATAGGCATCTATAGCAGCCACTGTCCTTTTAACTATCATCATAAAGAAAATGGGCAAAGCTGAGACAGAAACATGTCAGCTCTGTCTTTGTGAATGTAAATGCCTGGTTATGATACAGCCCCTTTGGCAGGACATTTCTCATACGAAAGGAAGAGGCACGAGGAGGGACTAAGGAACAACTCCTGGACACTAAGGAAAGTGTGTGGTGATTAGTGACCGTTAATCGATATTTATTTAGAAATCGTGAGATGNCATCTCATGATTTCTAAATAAAAAACTAAGGAAAATGTTCAGTTTTATCAGGAATAACGCACTTTCCAAGGTATAAGCTAATAGGGCTATAACAATGGATCTGTTTAGGTCACAGGCAAGAACTATCCTCTGTATCAACCTCCCAAAAACCCTAAAAAAAAAAAAAAAACCTTAAGATTATTATATCTAAAAAAAGGGCTGATGATTGATAATCAATTAAAGCTAGTTCAATTTTGATTCTTCATCCGAAATCAAGCAGAACAATCGTTTGCATCCTAACAGCACCTCGCATAGTAAATTACACAAAAATAAATAGGAACTTGCAGCACCTTCGGGCATCATTGGCTCAAGAGGTCCCTCTTGACAATGGAAGAACTATCGCTCTCTTCTGAACAATGCTTGAGAAGGACGGATTTTTTTACAGCATTTTCTTTTTCTGGAACCTTGATCGGTTAGAGCAAAATTGTCCGATACAAAAATCCTTTTTTAAATTTTTTTTTTTTTTTAATTTATATTTTGGAGTTTATTTATATTTGTATTTTCTTTATTTATTTTTTTTTATAAAATAGTTTTGTAGGTTTTTCTTCAGTCAATTTGAGGCTTTTACCCTTTGGGTCAACATCTACGGTTTAATTATTCAGAAATCGTGAGTTGCAGTCTGGTGTGATGTAGGTTTCAGAAAAACATTTTCTTTATCGTGCCGTTTCGATCTTTATTGAGATCATCTTCAGGGCCTGGGATTTACAAACATTGTTTACATTTAACAAATACATGTAGAATGTGGAAAAAAGATCAAAGAAACCCAGGCCCTGAAGATGATCTCAATAAAGATTGAAACGTCGCAAGAAAATGTTTTTCTAAAACCTACATCACAACAGATCGCATCTCATGATTTCTGAATAATTATCGATTAACGGTCACTAATCACCACACACAACTACAGTTTAATTGAGTCTTTGATCGGATCACATTGACAGCCGGGAAACTGAAAAGGCACTGAGGATGCTGTGTCTAGTGTAGTGGGGTAAGTCCCTTTGTTGATGGACTCATCCCAGATAGAATTTTGGCTAGTTTTTAATTAAGATTTTGTTTTTGTTTGTGTATATTTAAAAAGCAGAAGAGAGTGTTAAAATAAATGTTAAAAATATATTCTATGGTTTATTATATTTTAGGACGTCATGAGAATAAGTTACAACTACTCTCTTATCGCTTAGAGAAAAGCAAGTGAATATAGAGATGTTATGTATTATTATTACTATTATTTATATTGTTATTATTTTTTACGAGGGTTCGGAACAGCAAAGGTTATATCAATACTTGGGGTGGCGGTATTTTTGAGAAAAAAAAGCCCATTTGTAAGTATGTCGGGTTCGAATGCAGAGCCACTGGATTCGAACCCGGGACCTTTACCTTACAGAGAAGAGCGCTCTGTCAACGCCTAAACCGTTGCCACCACTTATGTCCTCTATTATTATTATTACATGAGGAAACAAGCAATATATAAATATTCGTATACTGAACCAGCATAGAGTCACTTATTGGGTCCATCTTCACTTGTGGATTTGTTGAATTATTCAAACGTGTTTTGTCATTGCGCCATCTTCAGTGAGGAGCTACGTTTATTAAAAAATATAAAACTAACTAACAACAGTTCCTCACTGAAAATGGAGCCTCTGGAAATTTGACAAACCTGTGGATGAACATAGACCTTATGCTGGTTCATCATGAGTTCACCAGCTAGCATATGAACACCCATCAACTATAAATATTTTTGGAAAGCAAGGAATTATGATAAACGTAGGTTGGGGTAAAGACGATTGGAAAGAGGAAGCAGACTGCCTCACAAAGAAGTCATCCCCAAATCCTAGAAGTGGCTTGCAATTAAGTTTCCAAAATTAATTAGACAGGAAAATAAATATATAATAATAGAAAAATATGTACCGAATGCTAGCTTTGCGTTCACCAGTGAGTCAGAAATGGAGTGAATTTCTTTTGTTGCGTTTCTCAACTGTCGGTTGAAAGGGATGCCTGGTTCTTGTGACATTTTTAGCCCAAATGAAGTCACCAGATCCACAGACGAAGAGATGACAGATGTGTGCTGCCAATCTTTAATGACAATGTTATCACTTATCAGTATGTTGGAGGTTACCAGTAAGGCAGTAACTGCCATGCTTGCCCAATTGTCGTCGTGAGTTATGACGTCATAGTTGTCACAAGAAAGAAGTCGTCCACAAATCTTGTCGTTCAACTTATCTACGTATTTTACATGGAACAGTCGAGAGTTCTTGGCCGATTAACTTCTCCCTCGATCTGTAAAAAGATCATAATAAACTGTAACTCCAATGCATGATTACAGATTTGTGGGTATTGACTACTTCTAATACTGCATGATTGCGTTAAAATCATTCAGGTTAATAATTTTTTAAAATGGTTTTTTGGAGGTGAGGCAGAATACAATTATTTCCTTTTAAATCTTATAGCCATACCTTGGAAAGTGTGCTAGTCCTTACTGAGCAATTTCCTTGGTCCTTGGTGCCTCTTCATGGATCTCCTTGGGTATGAGGAATGTCCTATCAAAGTGGCTGTACTATTAACCAGCTAAAGCTTTACATTTGCAAAGGCTATATGCCAACATCTCTGGTTCCTCCTGACAGAGCTGGCATGTTTCAGTCTCAGCATTGCCCATCTTCTTAAGGTGATAGTTAAGAGGGCAGTGGCAGGTATAGAGGACCATGATTATTCTCAAATCCTACCTGCTGAAGAGAGAAGTTCTTCCAGCTTCTATTTTGAGATATTTACAAATCTCTTAGCTTGGAGTGTTTGAGTTTCCAGTTCTAACGTAAGCACACACTCCAGAGTTCTTTGTGGTTCTGGTCCCATGGGTGAGAGGGTTACCCCTTTTTTGGCTACCGGTCAGCTTGTTCATTTCCTTCTATGCCTTCACATCCAGCAACCCACTTTAAGATAATCTTGTTGGGCTTTCCCATAGTCATTGGGCAGTTTAGGCACTTAGACAAGTTGGGATTTGAAAGCTTATGCATTTAGTGCCTTTATGACTGCCTGACTTTTTGAGAAAATATCTGTGCATATTTCATATTTTTCTTTATTAACTCTTATGCACAGAATTGTATTGCACAGATTTCAGCTTGGAAAATCCTTGGGGTTAGTCCAAGGGGGTCTCCATGGGGGAAAATTTTTTGATCCATCTATATACCATATTAGAGCCTCTTGAAACTTGGGGCCAACTTTTTAGCAAATGTCCACTTGGAAGAGTATGTCAAAATTGAGCTTTTCTCCCAATTTGTCATATGCTCTTATAGCCATCTCGTTTATTTCAATTCTGTTAAGAATTTTATGATAGCTCCTCTTTAAATCTGTTGTCTCTGGAGCCTGATGACACTCTTAAAAGCCACCTTTTTTACACATCCTTATAACTTGGGTAATCATACAAATAAATAACTGGTTCCACTACGCAATCATGTGGTTCATGGATGGCATAAGATTAAGATTTCGTTCTATCATATTGAACTGACAAGTTACAAGTTAGTTGATATGAGTCATGGCAAATGTTTTTTTTGTTTCATCAAAAGACCCACATGGTTGTAAGCATTTTCGGCAGAAAGAGCCCCAGGCGAATCTTTTTTCCTTGCATCTGTCCAGGGTGGTTGCAGATGAAACAAAATTTTTAATTTTCATGTTTTCAAACCTTTTCAGAGGCACCAAAGGATTAGAAGGTAATCACCAACCCCAAAAGATCTTTGATCTAGACCATCTAATCCAATCTTTTCTTTGTAATTGTATATTTAGGCATGGCAGTATTAGTGTAAGTTAAACAACATGCAAAATTACTATTAGGCTACAGTTCATCAAAACTCAACAAAAACATGCTACCCGTAATTATACAGCATGCAGTTGGCAAATGTATTCATCCAGTGGCAATGACTACAACCTCGTCAGCTTACTGGAAAAAACATCCTCCATTACAGCATATACACAAGAAGCTAGACAACCCCTCATACAGTCTTTAAAAGTAAACAAATTCAGTTGGGAATAAAAATGATAACAGTGGACTTTTAACAGTGACCAATAATTTCAGATATCCATTTCTGAAAATAGGGCCTGACTAGATCTTGGAATCGTCGTTTGTTATGTCCTATAAAGTTTTAAAAGACTACAAAGGAGAAGAAGAAATCAGTAGAAGGACAAGTACAATTATATAGAATACAGAACGCTCTAAAACCAGCCTAGGAACCACGTTAGGTATTTGCACCTGGCTAACCTTTGCAAGCATAAAATATGAGCAATCAAATAGAAATAATTGAGGTGGGTGAGTAAATCAGTTTTTGTAAAGGATTGTTCTAATCACAAACTGTTTTTAAAATCAATCTGGATTAAATCAGGCTGAAGATTAATTTCTATAGATAGCATTAGCTTGAAATCCCGAATGTTGCTAAAAACAGTTTATGAGTGAACCATCTGGGCAAAAAAAGTCAGCAATCAGACATATTAAAGAAGTACACCTCAGTCTTTAAACATTAATGCTAATGACATAAAACACTTTAAAGAAGGTTACACTTTCAAACAAATCTTTATAAGATCAGACAGCCAAGCAGATCTGAAAACATTAAGGGATAAAAAGGACAAATCCAAATAGTCAGTGGATGCATGTGAACTCTCCAAAACCAGGGAAAACACTACAACTTGAAAATATTTTGGATGGCAGGGCAAAAAGGACTTCTGGCCAAGGGTCTGAAAGACCATATGTAGGTCCAGAAGCGATAATTGGGGTAATAAGATGACACTGATTCCTCCATATCAAAATGGGTCAACCCAAAACAAAAGAAGTAGATGAATCCAGAAGTATCAGACACAGAAAACTCGTGATTTTACTGAAGACAGGATAAAACATAAGTTATAGGGCTATATGTGCTATGTCACAGCCATCTGAGAAAAAACATAGGTATGTTTGATCCGTTTTATAGGTTATCAATAGAGACCTAAGGGGAGACATAACCTAGGGTTAAAGATGACCATAGAAAAGTTCAGAAAAATCCAATTACCAAGAAAGGAGAATCGGGCCATTTGAAGTGACCTAAGATACTAGTATCAGCATTATCAAAGAGTTTAAAAAAAATAAAAATCTGCCACCTGTGTTATCTTTGATTGAGAAGGAACCGCTCAAAGGAGACATAGTTTACGATACCAAGATCCAAGAAACAAGCAAATTCAACTGACATAAGGAACAATGGAATGCGCAATAAGAAAGTTGCATAGATAAAAAGCATAACTAAAGTCTGGCTTCTTAGTGTTCTTCTTATCATCATCAAGAAGTAAAATTAAAAAACAAGCAATAAGAGAAATTTTCATTATATTTGAGAATTAGAATCTTCGAAATAATAATGTATTGATTTTTTTGTGCTCTAATATTTCAATATTATCAAATAATTTTAATTTTAGTACTTATAGAAATAGTCTGTGCATAAAAAGTTAATTAAGTTCAATATGAAGGAAAAGAAATTTAAATTATGGTGAGAAAAAGGTGGATGAATTAAAATCTGCAAGAAAAGCGATGATCTCCTGGGCATTTGGTTTAAGGGGGTTACTAGTGACTCAGCCATATAACGGGGTGGTGAACTCCCAGATGTACAGGCACTAAGGTCAGCACGTCAGGGAGTGACAACCCTTCGGGGTGAAAGTCCGAATGCTATAATAATGATGAGTGATGTGCTCGAGATGGTAACTCTTACAAGAAAGAGATGGATGTAAGTGTCATACACTTACCGTAGGAAAAGGTTGTTAATCTTGCCTCTCTTCAGAGTCAGAATCACTTTCGGTTTCGTCTCTGTTTTCAATTATTGCAATAGATCGACCACGTTCTGTTCTCGGCGGGGCTAATTTATTACGGTTTGGACGCTTATAAACACCTTCTAGGATATCGTGCTCGGGGAAGTACATGGGCCTGGGTCGCTCAGCGTCGGAACTTGTAGAAGGTCGCGCTTGGTCATTTTCAAATTCGTCATCAGAAATAGACCCTAATAAAAATTGAGCGAGGTGGTCGTCTTTGTTCTTCATCCCTTATCTTTTCCAAATGTCGCCTCACTTTGAAAGCAGGAAGGTCGTAGTGAACATACTTTGCATATCTGAAGCACTGATATGCTAACATACCCGATGTATACATATATGTATATCTACAGGGAAACGGGTGGTACAGTGTGGACGAGGCTCGGAGACCTGAAAAGGTGCACTTCGTGTCCTCTTCACGTTCCTTTCTCAATCCGGGTTCCTTTATTCTTCCTTGCTACCTCTCCCACCCTTGGTTACAAGGGGGGTGTCCAGGCGCAAAATAATGGTGCAGCCTTGAGGGCGTGGCAACCTTGGCAACAAGCTGTACTCGTGTCGGCCTAGGGTTGGCATGGGGCGGCGGGTGCTTTATCAGAGGTCCACGTGGGTACCAGATCCTGTCTGCAAAGACGTGAGAGGGAGCATAACCATCTGTACTACGGGGTAACAGAAATGTTCCAAGGTTCAGCCCCTGTTACACTGGGAATGGAAGTTGGCCGTGGTGACACCCCTGGCGGGTACCTGGAGAAGAAGCTGTATTCTATCTGTGACGAAACCGCGGCCGGAAGTTTCTACGCTGGGGAAGCCTTAATACTCTCTTCTTTTCTATCTAGGGAGTGCGCGGGAGACCAGGCTGATGTATTTCGGCCTAGGTAGCACTTTGCGCGCCGCATACGGTTCGATGCTTAATGAGGACCCGACCACTCGGAATGGGCAAGCGGGGGGCGAGGTTGTCTTGGCCTCTCGGGACTGAACTGCCTCTACACCAATGCTGCGGCAGTAACCCATTTCTGTCGTATGCGGAGGCGCGTCAGCTTTCATCTTGAGAATCAAAACGTCCGATAAATCCGGAAGGCTAGGTGTGGACGTTAAAGATCCTCATTGTCCTTTTAAGGACGACCGAGTATGCAGGAAAGCAAAGTCTAGGAGGGATGGTTAGGGTTTTTCATCTCATAGGGTAACATTCCCCAGCTCAAGCCATACCATCAGCTCTGGTGCTTAGGGATAACCAACGATGGAGGCAAAATTCCTATTACCTTCCTTACCCTTTACTTTTCCTTCCTCTTCCCCCTCTGCTTTGGCAGGGTTTCCTAAGTTACTGAACCCGTACCCCTCAGGCAACGGGTGCATTAGTAGACTGCACGTCTGAAGTTCTTTGGGCATATAGCTCGTTGTCCTTGTTTGTCTCTGAGAGTCTGGTCGTAGTC